CATTGTCATTAATCACAAATTACGGGATGATATACGAAAATGCAGGTTTACTTTGAACTAGAGCAAATGATACTTTTCCATCTACAATCTTCAGATCAAAGGATGCAAGTTCTTACACAGTGCAGCATAATTTGTGCAACAGAAGACATCTCGAATATCGATTGTCTGAAAAAACATTATCTCCGGGACATTTTTTTCCGAATACGCATTCGGTGTAAGTTTTCAGCCACCAGGAAGTGGTTTACATAGTAATGTTTTATTACGATAGTAGTACATAAAACAAATTGGTTGCCTGAGGTTCTCGGGGGGAAAGTAGCCTCATCGGCTAGAGTCCTCTATTTCACAAACAAAAACAACAATTGCTTCCTTGAAAATTTATCGATCAACCCTTTTCACAGACGTCCAGCTTACCACTTCCCGTCAATGCAGTAAGATTGAATATGCAGTTTTCTCATGGACAATTGGGCGAAAGTTGGGGTTTTCTCAAGGAAAACTGGTCAACAAGTTGGGGAAAAAAGCTCGAAAAGTAATCCAGAAAAAAATCCTGTGTGCGGCCCTCGGAATATGATGGAATAATAGTTGAATATTATTATGGTTCAAGTGATTATATTTGACCCTGGAATGAAAGCTCAGAAACAAGTAGATTTTTAGCCCTTCCAACGAGATGGATAGCTCTTGGAAAGGATAGACACTTTTCAGATTACAGCCTGTCCGAGAATTGCGTGGCATCCATTTCGTTTGGTGATTAGGACACATAGCGGTTAAACCTGGAACTTCAACTCGAACTATTCAGAGATTTATTAACTCGCTTTTGATGATACTTGCTGTTTTATGATGCGATTTTTTGTTACCTAGGGAGGAGTTGGCCTAGTCGTGCCTTCCACTAATTCGTACCACCCTGATGCCAGCGTTACTGGTAAGGATCAGGAGACCGGCGCAACCGGCATATAATGGGGCCCTCCCAGGGCAGTGTTTAATCTACTGAAACACTGAAATCTACTGAAATTTACTGAAAACTAAAATTAAAATACAAAATAAAATATGGTCAATGACGGAGGTAGACTGATTGCGTCTTTTAAAACATTTTTTTTTTTTTTTGGGGGGGGGGGGGGGCTATTTGTAAAACGAACATCGTAATGACCTTGACTTTCCTTCATCGGGGCTCACTTGGTCCAAAACCGTACACAGAGGACCAGGCTCCGGGTTACCTATTTAGGGTGTTTTCCGGTATTTAGGATGTTTTCCGGTATTTAGGATGTTTTCCGGTATTTAGTGATTTCGGTGTTTTCCGGTATTCAGTATAAAATGGTGTTTTCCGGTTGTTTTCCGGTGTTTTCCGGTATATAGTATAGCCCCTTCAAAAATCAAAATTATAAACTACTGAGTACAAAAAGTGCTTAAACCCCATTTCATTTCATTTTCTAAATTAATGTGTCTTACATGTTCAGGCTTTACCTTAAAATGAATTGATTTTAATAGTTATTAGAAAGTAAATGTAGTTTTTTGAATTAATATTTTAAATATATTTGAGTTCCGATCTGCTATCCTGTAACTAAATCGATAAACCCCCCCCCCTCTCTCTCTCTCTCTCTCTTCTCTCTCTCTCTCTCTCATTTGATCTTAATTTTATGAGTCATCTAATGGATAATATTATAATATGTTGTCATTTTCACCAAGGCGATACTCAGTATAGATATATCTGATTTGTAAATAATGAATAGTGTTGAATGTAATGATTCGTTATTATGTCACGAGAATAGACTGTACTGTATATCACGGACATTTGTGATTATACACGATAGCCCACCTATACCATTTATATCTGTGCCCCCATTGAAGAAATGTGCCCCTTTTGAGAGACCAGTTTTATCTATGCAATCTACTGAATCTAGAATAAAAGGTCGACATTAATCTGTTTTTAATAATACTAATTGTTGAATATGTCTATTAAAGGGCGTATGGCTCTTTTTCTTTGGAACCTTAAAATGGACCGAAATTGGTCTAAACGCTATAATGTAATATTAATAAAGTGATATATATTCCAGTTTAAAAACAATTATTGTAATTTCTGATCAATCTGTCCAAATTGAACGACATTCGTTTACGCCTGCTTAGTCTATTCTAAAGTTTTTATACGCCCATAATTTCATGTGGGTGTATAGTGTCGTCGCCCTTGTCCGTCTGTCCACAATTTGTTTGTGTACACTCTACAGGTCACAATTTTTATCGGATTGTGACGAAAATTGATATATTATTGGGTTATCTCCCAAGGATCTCGGTTCGAAATTGGCATGTATCGGACCATAACTTCATGGTTTATGGTCTCTGATTGTACGAAAAATCACGGCTTTTTTGTCGACACTCTAGAGGTCACAATTTTAATTTTAATCCGAGTTTGATGAAACTTGAAATGCAGATTTATAACCCAATAATCTTGGTTCCTTTCGATATTCGCGCATATCGGATCGTAAGTTCCTGAATTATGACCCTTGATAGTGCGAAAAATCGCGTTTTAACCGATTTTGATGAAACTTCAAATCTATCTTTATTTCCCAAAGATCTCCGTCCCTTTCGATATTTGCGCATTTCAGACCATATATAACTTTCTGGACCTGATTGTACGAAAAGTCGCTTTTGTTTTTAGCTTGTTCTCTTGCAAAATCAGACATTACTAATTATTTCCGCATTGTCTTGTAGAATATGTTTTCTTTGTTTATTACAAATTGCACCAGAAACCAAACAACTACACGACTCGTGTGTCTGAAACAGTTGATCACGACAAGATCACAACATCAATATTGATTGAAATAGACCAAAATTGAATTCTAATTTCAAATATTATTGAAAATATTAAAACTGCTTGGCTTCGATGTTCCTCATTCTCAATAAAGTATAGATGATGACTGCTCAGAAAGTCTGGGTGAGCTCTGGAGAACACACGTCATCAACAAGACAGTATTGGATGGATATTTTGACAATTGTAAGGATTTTACCAATTTATCACTGGTTTTTTAATATATAAATACATCACTCAAATTCATGTGAGTACGGCGGGTCAAGGTGGTTAAATTGGTAAAACTCTGGCTCGCTAGCCTGTAGGTGTTCGATCCCTGCATTGGCCGAGAAAGTTCATCCCGATTTCCCGCGGCGTGGTTCCCCCTTGTGAGTGATGCAGGACGGAGGGCCTGACAAGGACAGCTGTCTAGTCGTTCGGATGGGGCGAAAACCCGAGGTCCCGTGTACACATTGGCGTGCACGTAAAAGATCCCTTGACAGTTTGAATTCGATATAAGAATATAGGCGGTAGTGCCGCTGTCCGGGCAAAATTTACCTCATAGCACACTGACGGGAAACAACGACCATGTTTATTGTATGTAGGCCTATAAAGAAAAGTTTTTATGATGTCCGATTTCTAACAATGAAGACAAAAGATAACGATTTTATGGGTCTGTGCAGTTATCAGTTTGCTTGGTTATATCTATAGGCTTAAGCCCCCACAGTCTAGTCATTGTCTACGATATCACCTTCGGTAGAAGTGGACGTAAAACTCCAGGAACGAACGAACAATCTAGTCCTTCGAACGGAACGAAAAACCAAGGTCCAGTGTACATGTTGACATGCACATAAAAGAATCCTTGGCAGTTGGAATTCGACGAAGAGTAGTTGTTCTAGTCAATTTGTCCTGCAGGTGTGCATATGAAAAAGATCTAGCCAGTCGACCACTGTCAAATGTCCGTTTTCATCATCTCGGATGGTATACACGTTGCATTTGACTAGTGATCGACTGACTATATATATTTCACATGCAGATTTCCCCAAGGTCAAAGGAGATGTAAACAGGGTTAGGACACGTGATTGTTGCCGAGGGTTAGGGTAAGGCTTATCGCTAGCCCTCTTTACATCTCGTGACATATAACGAAATCTGCAGGTATCCATGGGAAAAGGATCTTACCGGGTCGACTCATCGATATGCATGTAGAAGAAACCGTAACAGTTGGATACTGACAATGGGTAAGCGGAAATGCAGCTGTCCAGCCAAAATTCCCCTATCTTACATTGCACGCGTAACCACGGGAACAATAATTACCACATGTTCGTCTCAAATTATGCTGATAAGACGTTACACCCCATTCCCATTCCATTTCATTCTTTGGCATGAAACCAGAAGGTAATAAGAAAAAGACGCCAAGGTGAGACTATATATATGCACCAATGTCGATGTACATCACATTTCGTCAGGCATAGTGCCAATGTTATTATTTTTCACCGTTTGTTTTGTACAGATGTATTACTCCAATTGCATATTCTATAATAGTCTATGTACATTATAATTTGGTTGGCACAGAGGAGACAATATTAGATTACTCTTATACGCACGAATTCCACCTGTAGGAGTATATTACTGTTTTCACCTTTGTCAAAGGCTATGAGCTTTGTAAACGCTATTGGGGCCCGAGTGTTCCAACCATTCCTAACTCTTTATCAAACTTCAGAGTCATTTTGAACCATTGTAAACGCTCTACAGGTCAAGGTTCGGATTGGTTTTTATTTTCAAACGTGCTGGGGTTAGTGTGTTATTCCTAAAGAAGAACCCAATCGAAATTCAGTTCAACCATGATTTTTTTTGCAAACTGCTCCAGTCACCTTTTAAATGCTCTACAGGTTGGATTACTTGTACTTTATTGGATTTTACATGCATATCAGGCCAATACAGAATGATTTCAAATAGAATTACCGTCTTTATCCCAATATTAGTACTTGTCTAGAATAATATAGTAAGTGCCCCCCACCCCCAATTGTACTTTAATAATTCACTTTTTTTTTTTTTAAGCAGTGGGGATCATTGACATACCTTACATTAAAAGTCCCCCCTCGTCCCCCCCCCCAAAAAAAAAAATGTAAAGAGGTCACACACATGCCATAAAAGTAAACCACCAAGTAAAATAGCTAGGTTAGGTACTGGTACATATACATAACAAGATAAAAACAACAAAATTAAATAAATTGAACAATAATTTAATAATACAAAGCATCTTTCAATTGGTACATTAATGTATTCAATCTGATGTCAATTATGTACATTAACATGTACAACATCTCTGTACCTGGTTGTACAACCAACCTTTGTTTTTATAACAAAACATTTCAGTAATAACAGCAAATTAACTTGTGCATATAAACACTTAAATCATTTTCTCAACACATTTATACATAACAATATACATTTAAATAATATATTCAGACAAAACAAGATCCAGTCTGGAAATAGAGCACCTGTCAGCTGTCACATTGTCAGGATTATCAGGTACAAACCCCTTTCTTGTGCCTGACATTTTGTCTGGAACAACTCAACCGTTATTTAGAGGACTGAATATGGTGAATACAACACTTGCTACATTCAAGTTCCCGTCCCGTCCCGTCCCATCCCACTCCTGATGGCCAAAATTTTCCTATCTGAAATTCCGAAATATCGAAATAACAGGAGTTGGCCTACCGGTACATATACAAGTATGTGTGGTGGCCTAGTAAAAAGACAATTATATTAAACCACACAAAATTTATTTCTAATATAGTATTAATAAACACCCTTGACCTACAGAGAAGAAAAGAGCTCTTTTCTTAATGTCATTATAACATACAGAGAATAGAGTACTTTGGTGTTACTAATAATAGTGCTATATGTTGTTAGCATTTACCATTTACCTACGCAATTCACAATAACCTTAGACTTATTACTCAGACACTAGAGATACATGTAGATATCTCCGTTCTCTTAACCAAGATTTTTCCAGATTGAATCATCTGTGTCAAGCTGTACAGCTAAAAATATAAGCCTGTTGTTTTTGGCAGAAAAACAGGTGCCCGAGTTGAAAACGAGTTGCGATTGTAGAGTAATAAGTAGGCAGGTTAAACACCTCCTTTTAAATAAACATTTCTAATGAAAAGCAGGTAATGAAGTAAATACATTCACAACATATAAACAACATTACATCATCCAATTCGTGGTCACACAGACATAGTTAACATGAAAAACAAGTTTCTAGTACCGGTACATGAGATCGTTTTCAAATTTGAATCAGTCATCCAACCGACACTTTTCTTAGCTCGCTATAGTATAAAGCCGACTGCACCTTACATATCACAATATTGTCATTTTTTAGAATTTATTCAATTTAGGCCGACGGTAACACTTCCCGAAGTCTGCTTTTCGCAGATTCACTAATGTTTGATGGAAATTGAATATCAAATTCAACAATTAAGTCTCCCCTTTTTGTGTTTTGTTTGTGATGAGGTAGTCCTTCGCCTTGTATTCTTCTTACTGTTTTTGGTTTTATTACATTTGATAAATTAAGCGGGATCCGTCGACCATCAAGTGTTGGTATATTAACTGTCCCACCACATAAAGCGTCTTTTAATGATATGGTTGCTTTGTAACGAATGTCCGTGTCTTCCCGAGTGAAAAGAGGATGAGGTTTGTCCTTTATGATAAAAACGATATCTGCAGCCACAGTATTTGGAGACTGGTCCCCTTCTTTTGGAAATGTTATTTTTGTTCCAGCTTTCCAACCTTTTTTGATATCAACTGATAGAATCTTCTCTTCATTTCTTGTGGATCTACCATCTGAATTGAGCACTTTTCTCGTTATTTTTAATTTTTTCGTTGTTCCGTTTAATATATCCTCCAGTGAGACTAGCAGTTCTTTAACAATGGCAGGATCACGTCGTTTAGCTCTGGGTTGTCCCATCATCCCGTGGCCCCCACGCATACCACGTGAGCCCCCAAAGTGGGCAAAGGGGTCGTCATCAACATCCATATGTTCGTCACCAGTTCCGAATCCACCGCCAAAACCTTGGTTACGGGGAAAGAAATCTCTGAATGGATCATTTCCTTCACCGAAAAACATTCTGAATGTTTGATGTGGATCACCATGGAACGAATAATGGAAGGTGTTGCCACCGGGACCGGCTCTACCCCCTGGCCCTGGTTGGGGTCCTCCGGGTTGGCCTCCTTTCAGACCTTCTTCTCCATACTTGTCATAAACTTCTTTCTTTTCCTTATCTCCAAGAACATCATAGGCTTCGGCAATCTCTTTAAACTTTTCCTCTGCGCCCGGTGACTTGTTTTTATCTGGGTGATATTTCAAAGCCAATTTTTTGTAGGCCTTTTTTATGTCATCTTCGGATGCACCATTGGTGATTCCAAGAAGCTTGTAATAATCTTTACCCATGTTCACAAATTCGGATTATATTCCTTCACACAAATTACTTCTATCGTTACACAACTTCAACTCTTTAAATAGCGATACGAACTTCTCTCTAGCGCGTTTATACTAAATCTGATAAGTTCAACCAGTTTCTATGTTCATATACCGCACGAGACGCATTCGTCAACTCACGAGAACACTCTAGAAAGAACAGGAACAAGTTAGCAGTCAACTAGTGCAACAGCCAATAAGCTCCTCTCAAGCCAGCAGACATTACATTAAGGGTGTGATCAACCGGCTGTCAATAAGAAAAATAGCTAATTGAAGTAATTGCTCTTCCCAAACAGGCCTTCCTACTAATTATATCAACCAGTCATAGCCTTCAATTAGAACACATTCGTGCCTAGTATACGGAAACAAGAAAAGGGAAAAAGAAATGGGGTTTAACGTCTGTATCTGTATAAATACGTCAAATGTACCAATGCTGGTGGAATGATCGACAGCATTACATGTAATTATAACGTCTGCTCAATAAAACTAAGTCCCATTTCAGGACTAACGTTTATCTTTATTTAATTTTTTCGTTTCTTTCATCAGAAGATATCGTGGGTTTCCTAAAAATAATTACTCTTACTGTTAGAAATCAGTATTAAGAAGACCTATAATTAGGGCAGTGTTGTGTCTTAGATTATTATTGATAGGCTCCTACACCAATGCATTAAACTACAGTAAACGTTCGCTTTGAACAATGCGATTCCCCGGTTGTACGTGACAAGGAGTAGGGTCGCCTGTCCAACCTCGTGGGTTTTCTCTGGGCCCTTCGGTTTCCTCCCACTGCTAAAAACCGCTACGCGCAAGCGAATTAGTGAAATAAAATTGAACCATAATTTAGTCCCGAAATGACGTGATTTGTGTCTAGTGGACGTTAAACCACATTTCTCCCTCTCTCAATGTAGATAGATATTTTATTACATAAAACATCCTCTTCGGGCAGCATGTAAATTATACATTATGCATGAAAAGTACTTAAAACGTGGATGAAAAATATATGAAAAGTGGATGAAAATACATACTTATGTATGACATTTGGGTGAATTAATTAGCTCTCAATATTGACTTTTTTTGTTCTGCAAATTAAATTATAAAACAAGTTACTGGTTTCATTGAAACATATTGGTTTATAATTAAAAACTGGGCAATGTGTTCATGTGGTTCCGGATTTTTAAAATTATTGTGTTTCTAACAGGCTGTCTTCCGCTTATTAGACACGATTTTGTTCAAACTAAGGCTCTGGGGAAGCGTAATCTATACTCATGGACCTAATTTCTTATTATCTGCCCATCTTCATAAGCTAGATTAGTGCATTCTTGACTGCCAACTGGATAAACCTTATTGGCTGTAAAATTAATGGCCTATTGGCTGCTCACTTGTCCTTGTATTCGATCTAGAAACCGGAGTTCGACGTACCGAACTTTCCCGAGAATATTAACCTATCAGTGGCTCGTGTTTCCAATGTTACTATTTTAAGATACGATAACACGGTTGTTGGACAGTGCAAATTGGATATTTCTAGAAAGTCTACAACAAGTGAAACGAAAAGTTCGCTTCCCCTTTGATGTCAGCAAGAAAATAAAAACCCTTGTGATAAATAAATCATTCGATATTGTCTTATGTACAAGGATTAGGAAAATTGATTCACAATTTCAGTCCGTGATAATATCGTAACCAGCCAACCAGGCCAATAATATAAAGCTATTTTGTAATATTGCAATAAAATATTATTATTCCTCTGTGGTTTGGCTTTTCTCTCCATTGATGATTGTCTTGATTGAGTATTAGACGTGCTTGATCGAAGATGCATTATTTAAGTGAACGAAATCTTTCTTTTGGCCTCAAACTCAAATGTTATTTATTATTTTATTAGACATTTATTCACATGACAAGCTCATAAATTACTCTCTAGGTCATCGGATGGTTGTGACTTTGAACTGAAAAACAATTATAGGCTTGGAGCATGTTTAAATAATAGAATAGTTTATATAACTTTTTAAGACGAAATTAGACCTGCAATAGACAGATTTAGCTCTGAAATCTGAAAGTTTTAAGAAATCTATTAAGAACTCTCGATCCTACCTAAGCTTTAAAAGTAATAATGTGATTGGCAACAGAAATATACAAAACCATGGATCTTAAAATAATTTCCATGATGAAACTTTACAATCTGAAAAATTTAAAATTCGAGAGAGTTCTTCCTTGAGTCCCAATGATGTGGCCTACCAATTTTTTTTATTGGCCCTAGAATCTATATAAATGAAATCAAAGTGTGTATGTATTTGTGTTTGCTGTGAATCTTTTGTGCCATAGAATTTGGACCCCAAGCAAATTGGGGGGCGGGTGAATTATGGCCCCTGGCGAATTGAGCTCTTGTCATATTTGGGCCCTGGGCAAAGCCGGGTATCCTGCTAGTGATGAGTATTTTGTTCCTCAGGAAACTTTGCAAGGGGCAGATGGTTAGGAGTTAATTTTAAAGCTTATTGACTGTCGAATCGTAAATATTTGGTTCTTTTCATTACCAAGGTTTGTGAGGTCCATCCGAAGTGCAAAATATGAGTTGTCAATGGGAAATTCAATTCAAGCAATTTTCTGAGCAAAATACGCTTAAAACTACTTGATAGATGTTTAAGACTACAGTGTGTGTGTAAAAAAAGGCTTGTTACAGTGTCTAAAATATTAATACATCTTAGCTGGAGTATCCCTTACATCTGGAGGTCCTAGGCTTCAGCCTGCCAAGGTTATACTTAAATCCGACACTGCCAGTGCCCAGGTAATTAAAAAAAAGAAGAAAAGTAATCCAGATTTGTTTCCGTGGAAACGCAAAAGTTATTACACCAAAATTTCTAATAAGCCCTGGTGCTGTTGCAACAACAATATAGGTTGATGTGTGTACAGAGATTCTTTTAGATATGTCCTGGAACCAAAACTGGGCCTTCGGAAGGGCGGAGCCTATTTCAAACTCTCCTCTTTAAATTTGTTTGGTGCTGAATTAAAAAAAACATTAACACATTTTGTTTAAATTGAATTTTTTAATATTATGTTGAGCAAAATGTTAATATAACACTGCAAGTATTGGAACAGTATTTATGTACACCCCCCTCCCCACCAACAAATCTTTCAAAACCATTTCTCATTTGAACACAATGTCAAATTCATTTATTCAGAAAATAACTCTGCAATTTACACAGCAGTAAAGCTCTCACACAGGCATTCAGCAATCAACATATTTATTTGACATATTTTTAATAATATCCCACTTTTCCACTATAATTTGGCTAACTTGATTCTTATATGCTGGTTGTGACATTTGTGTGTTTCAGACATATGGACTAACAATGAGATACTGTCAGCCATGACTCTCTTCCTTTGGGGGCAATAAATTTGCTAACTTAACATTTTAGCACTAGTACATGTAAATACTCACAACCCCTGTTCCCTGAAAAGTAATATTTTTTTGTTTTACATTGGTAAGTTTTGTAGCTCTTTTTTGAATAGACCAAAACGACTGCTCCCATCACATCCTCAAACTACCCGGAGACAAAACTAGGATAACAAGCCAACAGTGAGGCTGATGTCCCCCGCCGAAATTGCAAAATAAATAGATGACACATATTAATTAATCGCACATTTATTTTTTTCACTAAGTTTCATCACTCTCTATCAGATAGAATCAAGATTATCTTGTCCCAAACCATCGACAAATGAAATCGATTAGCTCTGCTTAGCTTCAGCTCGAAATGTTAATTATTGAACTCAGTCAAGACATTCACCTAATGAATATCTACATATACATCAAGTTTAAACATTCACCTAATAGACACCTATGCCAAGTTTGAACATTCTACCTCAATTAGAAGGAGAGTTATTGTGTTCCAAAGTTTCTACCAATCAAATTGCTTATCACTCTGCTTACCCTCAGCAAAAAATGTTCATTATCGAACTTAGTTAAGGTATTCATATAATAAATCTATACACCAAGTTTCATCAATCTCACTTAATTAGAACTAAAGTTATCGTGTCCCAAAGCATCAACCAATCAAATTGCTTATCTCTGCTTACCCTAAGCGGAAAATGCTCATCTTCGAACTCCATCAAGGCATTGACCTACTCAACACATACACCAAGTTTGAACATTCTAGCTCAATTAGGAAGAGAGTTATCGTGCCCCAAAGTATCAACCAATCAAATTGCTTATCTCTGCTTACCCTAAGCGGAAAATGCTCATCTTCGAACTCCATCAAGGCATTGACCTAATAAACACATACACCAAGTTTGAACATTCTAGCTCAATTAAAAGTTATCGTGTCCCAAAGCATCAACCAATCAAATTGCTTATCTCTGCTTACCCTAAGCGGAAAATGCTCATCTTCGAACTCCATCAAGGCATTGACCTAATCAACACATACACCAAGTTTGAATATTCTAGCCCAATTAGGAAGAGAGTTATCGTGTCCCAAAGCATCAACCAATCAAATTGCTTATCTCTGCTTACCCTAAGCGGAAAATGCTCATCTTCGAACTCCATCAAGGCATTGACCTAATAAACACATACACCAAGTTTGAACATTCTAGCTCAATTAGGAAGAGAGTTATTGTGTCCCAAAAAGTGTGACGGACAGACAGACGGACAGACAGACGGACAGACAGACAGACAGACAGACAGACAGACGGACGAACCCATTTTAATAGTCCCCTGCTTTCTTCGAAAGGCGGGGGACAATTAAAGCTAGTTTTGAGTGATTGGGGCGGTGTCAATGCTAAAGTGTTAACTTACAGTCATTAACAGTACATAATTATATTTTGTCATATTCAAGTATTAAACCCTGATCATAAAACTCGTCAACCCCTGCCCCCACCCCCTTTCTTCAATCTACATTTATGCCACTTTCAAATTTCAAGATAAGCAATTGTCACTACCAACACATATGAATCATGTTGACCCAATGGTAAGGTCATCAACAATATTTATACAATATATTTTATTTAGAAAAGATCACAACATTTCACCACTCAATGTGGAACCAGTAAAAACTGGAAAAACGTGAATTTTTTTTCTAGGATTTAGGAAAGGGGAGTTAATTCAATAAATTCACAGGTCATCAACAATACATAAATTATATGGATTTAAAAATAGAAAACAAAAAGCACTTAATAAATACTGGTATCTCATGGAGATAAAGTTGATAGACAGGTTGCCAGGTAACGAAACATACGCCACAGCAGCTAAGTTGTTCCAGCAGTTCATAAAGGTCTGGATGCAATTACAATATACTACATATTAAAGTAATTAAACAAAATGAAACTGAATGGGGTTTAATATCTCACCTTTTTTTTGCATGACACAGGGTAATGAGAGAGAGAGAAATTGGGTTAAACATCCACTCAACACAAACTAGGTCATTTTGGGACTAACATATGGTTCAAGGTTCAATTTTATTCCAATAATTTGCTTGCACGTAGAGCAGGAGGAAACCGGAGGACCCAGAAAAAAAAAATCCATGAAGTTGGACAGGTGACAATACTCCTTGTTCTAGTTCTTCTCTGTGCTACCATAAACAAACTTGCACTAGATATCACACAACTTAGCTATTCAGAGTTTATAGACATCACACAACTTCAGTAGGTGACAGACCGGTGTGACGACAATATATGACCACATTTCAATGTGGACATACACAAACAGAAATTTGTTCAAATGTAGTAAATTGTGCCTAAATATATGCTTGAATAAAATAGTTGACCCAAAACATGAATAAAAAAATTGAAATAATTTTTAAAGATGCATTATGTAAGATTTAGATAAAGAGCTGACAGTTCTCGCTATAATAGTTAAAAATAGATAATGAAAAGGGAATATGTAGAAAATATCAGTCAAATTAATTCATTCTGAGCTGGGTTATTGCCAGTTTGAAGAACATTGTAATCTTGACTGTCATTGCTACTGTTGTTACGATAATAACCAAAGTAAAGATTATCCATTTTTTAATTAAATTATTAACTAGCAATCATGTTTAAATCCGTTGACAATCAAAAGCATCCAATGGTCTTGGCATGTGAATAAATGTCTAACGATTTATATGACATCTGAGCCCAAACGAAAGATCTGCATTAGGTAGATTTAGCTATTACATAATGCATCTTTAAGCAATTTAAAAGTTTTTAGAAGAAAAGGGGTAAAATTTAAATTTTTAAAATTTTCAATAATAATTTAATTAAAACTTGAGAAGGGAGAGAAAAAAAGAAAGCTAAATAGATTGTTTTCACTTTTCTTTTTAAAAATGCCCAAATTTATCATCTTGGTCTTCCCCTTACGGTATACTAAATTATAAGTATAATCAGAGTAGTCTTGGTTCACTGATTCTGGAAGGACTTGGTCATTTTGGGACTAATGTATGGTATTATTTTTAATTTCAAAGCAGGGTTCTTTTAACAGTGGGAGAAGACTAGAGGACACCCAAGGAATCCCATTCGGTCAAGCAGGCAGGAAGACGGCCCTACTTCTTGTCCCATAGAATCCTGGGATCCCAAACCAGGCCACTCGACTCAGTACAATACATCCTTTTCTGGAATCCTAAAATATGGTATATCCCCAATCTTTACCAAGGGTATCTAATATTGATGTTGATGGAGAGGAAGACCAAAAATGCCCCAAAATATCTAATACCTTATAAGGACTACAACGCTTTGGTTTAGGTGAAAATAAAGTGTTGAATTAGGTTAATCTGATGTTGTTTGTGTTCACAAATATACAATAACATTTTTCCTTTTTAAAGATGCATCATGTAAGATATAAAGAGCTGACCATTCTTGCTATAATAGTTCAAAAATGGACAATGAAAAAAGAATATATTGAAAATTTCAGTCAAATTATTTTATTCTGCGTGAAGTTATGACTGTTTGAAATTTTGACAAGAATAGCGTAGTCCTGATTATCACTGCTACAATAATAAAGTAAGTCTCAATTTTCCATTGTAGTGTTAACTGATTATATGACATCTTAAGACAGAAAAATAAAACCTGCCATAGGTAGATTTAGCTCTTATATAATGCATATTTAAGATAAAACCTGTTACATCTCAACTTTGGTTCTATAACTGTCAACCTAAATGTGTCATTTCTAAACAATATCGCGACACTATTTATCAACGTAAAATGTTAAAGATATCCACGTTACAAAACAAATCACCACATCAAACTTAATCAAATCGACACTTTCATTATTTCACCCAAATCAAAGCAGCTGTATCCCTTTAATTTAATATGTCGACTATACCACCATTAGATAACAAAAATATAATACATATTTTCAGTTATATTTACATATATACAATACTACAGTCAAATTCATCATAATAATCTCTATATTCTTACTTATTAACACGAAAGGGATCAATTCATAAACTCTGAATCTTTTGTTATGTAAAAATTGGGATTTTATGAAGTGAAACCTCAGTTTAGAAAATTTTCCTAAAGTAGTTGTTTATTTATTAAGACCTCACAGGAACAGAAATTAATGGGGTTTGGTATATTTACATAGATCCTTTAAGTCATATTAATTTTTGAATTACAGGACATATAAATTTAATGCTTTTAAATAATTCATGCCCTCTACACTTGACTAGAAGAATTAATAAAGTATATGGAGCACCAATTTCTGTAAACTACATAAAGCTGGAGTCAGAAAAAAAATTAAATATTAATGATGAAATGACATGACAACATTATTAAATTTACTGAAGTGTTGTTCAGACAATTTTTTTTTTTTGGTCAGATTCGTAAAGATTTTATTAATTCATGTCAGTGATTTCAAAATATCAAATTATTAATGATGAAATGAGATGACAACATTATTAAATTTACTGAAGTGTAGTTCAGACAATTTTTTTTTTTATGGTCAGATTTGTAAAGATTTTATTAATTCATGTCAGTGATTTTAAAATATCAAATTATTTATGATGAAATGAGATGACAACATTATTAAATTTACTGAAGTGTAGTTCAGAAATTTTTTTTTTTTTTGGGGGTTAGATTCGTAAGATTTTATTAATTCATGTCACCGTTTTCAAAATATCAAATTTGTAACGACGAAGTACATGCACAGATGGGACAACTTTTGTATGATTTCTGCCGATTTAGAAAAGTCTGATACTTGAATGAGAAAGAATAAATCATGCCACAGTTAAGGCCTATTAAAATCTGAACAAATCAAAAAATTGTCTGGTCTCAGAAAATTCTTCTACTCTCCCACAACTTTCTCTCATTCAAAACAATTTGTTCAAATAAATGTTAAAAGTGTGTGACATAATTGATCGACATTCATTTGATAACTCAAATTGGAATTTTTATTATTCATTACTTTTTACAGGACTAATAAAACTAATAATGTTTTCAAGAATTTCTTGTATAAACAGTTTACATCTATTCTATTAATATTTATAATACAATATTCTGAGATTGAAAACCAAAGGTGTTAAAGTTTGATTCCACCATTCTTTTGAAATTAGATAGCCAGTGTTTTTGAGGAATTAAATATTCTAAATATAGCAACAAACCCCTGGTGTAAATCAAAACATTTTCCTCTTAGTGTAGCACTCCCATAAAAGAAAATTTATGGTTGCAAATCAACACATACAATCAATCGCATAAACAATTTGGAATCTATGGCGTAAAACAAAACATTTCCTGTTCACAAGACCTACAATCGGAAATATTACTCATTAACGGAATTTGGAATTAATATTCTGAATACAGCAACAAATCCATGGTGTCAAAAATGCTTGTAAAACAACACATACAATCACATTGTTTTATTTCTCATCAAAGGAATAAAAAAAAAAAGAAAAAAAAAGGACGACTCTTGTACTTAGAAGATGATATCAAAATTTAGCAACTTAAATCCCAAAAGCTCACAATATACAAAATATAAAGTAAAAAGCAAAATAATGTTGGATTTGTACGAGAAAATAAGGATAAAATAATACTGGACAGCCGATATATATAATATATAGACTGGCTTATTTGTCAAATGACATGAGGTACTGTTCAAGACAAGGCCAAACAAAAAAAATATTCTTGTTCTCAGACCATCCTTCTAAAGAATCTTATGTAGAAGCAAGTTTTTTTTTATTTTGTCAACCAGGGGAAATATATAGAACATTTGAAGTTTCTGAGAACGAGAACATTTGTTTTTCATGGCTTAATCAAGCAAATGAAGAAACGTGTCTGTAAGTCAACTGGTTTGACACTAGTGTAAACTATTGTTTCAAAGTGTCAATCGGAATAAAACTATTTGTCTTCCAGAAAAATACAAATCAAAATAACTGATCAGCTAGGCTTTAAAGGCGCACAGGATTTTCTTGTCCACTGGACTCACAACATTCTTTCAAAAGGCACATTTATCTCTTTATTTTAAATTCCAAGTTTAAACCCCGGTCATGCATACAAAAAAAAAAGAATTTATTTTCAAATAATTTGGTGGCAAGTAGTAATAATTATTTCTCAATTAGGTTTGTTTTAAAAATTATCCTCGAACTTTGACCATGTTTTTGTTTTTTTATCGTAACAAGAAATAAACTCAAATATTTATAAGAATGAGTCGTGGCTCACTAAGTGAGGTGCTGCTTCGCAAATCTCAAGGTCCCAGGTTCTATCACTGTGTTGGCCAGGATTTTCAGTAGTGAGGACAGAGTGTCAAGCAGGGAACAGCGTCTAGTCCTAGTCATTAGGATGTTACGGAAAACTGTACATATTGGCATGCTCATAAAGAACCCTTGACGGTTGAAATTGGAATTAGAGATAGTGAGAAATGGGGTTTAACGTCCACTCGACACAAACTAGGTCATTTCGGGACTAACACATGGTTTAATTTTATTTCAATAATTGCGCGTAGGGGTCTTTAGCAGTGAGAGGAAACTGGAGGACCCAGAGAAAACCCACGAGGCTGGACAGGCAACCCTACTCCTTGTCACGTACAACCAGGGATTCGAAACCACGCCAGTTCAATCAATGACAGGCCGTATGGTACAGCGTGCACATGGAAATTGGAATTAAGAGTAGGCTGAATATTAAAGGCCCATATTTCCCACATTCATGTCTGACCAGTCATAAAGACTAGAAGTACTTGATCTTTTTATATCAGCAATGACTAGATGATAACATTGATGATTTTAAAATCTTTTTTGATGAGATGTTAATCAAAGACTGGTTTCTAAAAAAAAAATCCCAACCAAAATCCCCCACAAAAACAACCTCAATTTATCCATAATCCAAATCTTGACATAGTTTACGAAAATGTGATTTTAATCCTAAACATATATTAATATTATTTAAGTCGACGATTAAAGTTCATTTCTTCTCTGGTGAATCTTCCCTGTGGGGGGTTTGGGACGTAAGAGAGGAAGGATATTTGGTTCACAAATTTCACCAATCCTACGTTTTCTGAACATGGCCATTCCTACAAGATTAAGAACTTTGAATCAATGAATTAAGCTTAAATCTACATTATCCTAACCATTATAAAGGGTTGAATTAATGATAAGGCAAAATATTTCGCACCTTCTGTAAAGCCCAATGTATACCTGGTATATACCAACTGAATGTGTTTTAATATCTGGTATTTACCAGTTATTGACATTGTAATGAGTGGTATTTACCAGTTATTGACATTGTAATGAGTGGTATTTACCATCTACTTCTGGTATTTACCATCTGTTATGTTGTCATATCTGTATTTACCATCTGTTATGTTGTCATATCTGGTATTTACTAGCTGTTTATGTTGTCATATATAGTATTTAAAAATGATGCATAAGTGGTATTTACCATCTGTTTCTAACTTTGCTATTGATACACAATTAATTCTTTTATCATGAAATATGATAACAGAACAAAGTCCTATAAATATTGCACTGTATAATTTTAAGTAACTCGCAAGTTATAATAATAATAATAGCATGAAAGCAGGACTCTTAATTAAACATTTTGCCAGTCAGACATTTCAATGACATTCAAATCTTAGTATAGAAATAAGATTCTTTTTGTGTTTACTTTTTGTTTTAAATAAATAACACCCTTTCTAACATAACAATATGACAAATCGGGTTGTATAATTCTCATTTTTACGTCATAAAAGTGGAATCAAATATCTAAATATTCTGGCATACAAACTGACTGGACATTGACTGGCAGAAATAGTTCAAGTAAGAGCCTGAAAGAAATCTATCTCAAGCTACAGGTTGCACAACTGGGGGATTACCCCCTGTACCGTTTACCATACTCCCCCGAACTTGTTCCTCTATCATTGCCGCAACTTTATCTCTATCAAGCTGAAAGATAAAATAAACAAACAATGCATCAGCAACCCAAAGTTTGATACTTGGGTTATTTTGAGACTAAAGGAAATGAAATGGGGTTTAACGTCCTACTGTTCTGCTCCGAACTGGGCTAATGAAGACAGGCATACACCATAAAGTGTGCTATAAGGGAAATTTTGCCCGGACAGTTGCACTACGGCCTACTCTTATATCGAATTCCAACTGTCAACGGCAATGTGTACACAGGACCTCAGTTTTCCGTTCCATCCTAACAACTAGACAGCTGTCCTTGTCCGGCCCTCAGTCCTGCATCACTGACAAGGGGGAACAATGCCGGAAAATCTGGATGTACTTTCTCAGCCAATGAATGGATAGAACACCCGACCTCCACGCTAGCGAGCCAGCGCCTTACCCACTTGGCCACCGTGACCCCTTTGAGACTAAAGGGGGCTTCAAGTCATATTTTGCTGTACCAGATGGGCTAATGAATATTAATATATGCCATACAGTGTGGGATGAAGGAAATTTTGCCTGAACCATTAACACTAATATAGATGGAGAGAGAGAAAAATCCGGTTTAACAGTAACTTGACACAAACATTTTGGGACTAACAGAAGGTTTAATCGCTTGCACATGGTGGTGTGGTGTGGGGGGAACAGAAGAGAAAACCCTACTCTTTGTCACGTACAAGCATAGAATCAAAACCACACCACTTAGTCAATGACAAGACTTTTTGAACCACTAGCCCACCCACTCTAATATGGATGGATTTACAAAAGACCAGTTTTGCATGTAGTTCTATTTTGAGCATTACATTAAATATTACCTCATTAATAAAGCCATAATGCACCAATTCTTCAGCTAGTGTATTAGAATTATCTTCATACGATATATCACATTGGAGTTGTCTGTTCATTTTGTCGTCCATACGGAAGGTCAAGGTCAACTGTACACTGGGACTGTCTTCACCTTTACGTACTGAACACGACATACTGGTCACCATACGAGTTTCGATGTCAATTGGTTCTGGTGTCTCGGATTTAACCGATTCGGCCAGTTCTGGAGTTATGGCCCTTGGACGTGATGGAGGGGGACGGGGCATAGCAAAGGCTGTTAAAGGATGAATACCATTTCTGAAAGGAATAATTCACTTTCTTTATCACAAAGAAGAATTTGCCAATTTAATTAGGTAGGTTATGGTCATTGTCCACCTGTCAAATTACCAAGTCAGCTGGTCTAAGCAAAAACTGTATACTACCTAGCTCAGTTCAATAACTCGGTGAATTACTCAGGGAGATTTTTTGGCACTTTATATTAACTCCCAATGTCATGATTCACTATCCATGAGCTGATATACCGTACAAAATCGACGACATTGAAGTGGAATTGGGGTTACATCCTACTATTTTGCACAAACTGGTAACTTGGCTAATAAAGACAGGCATTCAGCGGTATTAAGATCAACTCCTATTTTGATTACCCATCTATCTGGGGGTCTTTAACGTGCAGCCCAGGATATACAATCATACACTATAGCCCCCTCCACACCCATTAACTCATGCACACTAATTTTGTTTCTGATATATAGGATCTTTATTATGACCTAATGAACAAGCCAACCAAATTCTGAACTCTTCCATTGAGAAGTCTGTCCTGTATAGCATTCATAAGCTTTAACCCATCGAAGAATTAGCGACATACAATTAAGAGAGAAAAACACTGGTTACTTACTTTACATCTTCTAAAAATTTCTCTATGTCTAAAGCAGGAGCCTCAGAATATCTTTAAAAAAATAACAAACAAAACCAATCACATATTGGATTTAAAGATACATTATTCAAGAACTAAATCGGCCTATTTCTTTAGGATTTAAATGTTATATATATTATTAATTTGACGTCTATAACCATGACAAGACCATAATCAACTCTCGATGCCACCGGATACTCCAGATTTTAACTAGATTAGAACGATTCTGCTATTTAATGATTCAATTCAAAAATAGTAAAGGGAGGCTAAGACTCGAATGCATCAGTACTGTGGTTATGATAACAAACAATCAATGCAAACATCTTGTCAAAACTATCAACAGTGATAACTTGGCTAAGAATAAAGTAATTTTAATGAAATTTTCAATATATTGATTTTGCATTTTCTATTTTTGAACTATTATAGCAAGAACTGCCAGCTCTTCATCTAAATCTTACATAATGTATCTTTATTAAATTTGTCATTTCTGCAAACAAAATGTGGTTTAACGTCCTACACCAGTGTGCTATAAGGGAAAGGTTATCCCAATGTTTTCCCAGACAGACTCACAGGACCTTGGGTTTTCTGTCTCGTCTAAACGACTGGACAGTGTTCCTTGCCATTAAGTAGGGGAAACCTATGGTGGAAAAACTGAGGAACCTGGGACCTCCTGTTAAAGGTCGGATTGTTTTGGGGTTTCTACTAGGAAAAGCACATAGTTAAGAATATATCCTGTCACTCTTTAAATTTAAGAATAAATCATACAAATGTCTTTATTTCTGGAAAGATCTTGAATTCCTCTATTTGGTGGTATAAACGTTCCATATGGAACATTTGACGGTTGAAGAGTTAAGTGAGCCAGCGTAGCTCCTTTATAACAAGAAGCCAAACATTAAATTTGGAAACAACTGTCCTACTCCGTGATGTATATTATGAATGTTTTCTGTGGGACTATAAAAATTGTCATATCGTTTGGAGAAACAAATACATCAAAAATAGACTTTGAAGTGAAATCCAAGTTTAATACGTGGGCATTTAAAACTTAATCAGATTAATATACAGAGGATACAAAACTATGGAATGAATGAATGAAATATTGTTTTAACCAGGCCTCGGCCAATGCAGGGATCGAACACCCGACCTCCAGGCTAGCGAGCCAGTGTCTTACTCACTTAGCCACCGTGATCCCCCAGCTCAGTTATAAACAGTAATTGTATTCCATTATATTGTGTTCTGTGTATTTCCAGTTCAATTACTAAATTTCATTGAAACAATAAATCCCATTTAGTCTGGAGGCTCAGTGCGGGGGGGTGTCCATCAAATGGGCACAAAACCAGACCCAACTTTTCTAGAGTAAAATTTTGCGTAGAATACGATGCCGAGTGGTAATCAGTCCACCGTTGGGGCGTTTTCGAGATATTCAGGGTCAAAGGTCAAAAGGGTTCATTTGCACTGAAAGTGAATGCGCGGTCATTCCTGTATCATGAAAATAAGCTGAAAATGATCGAAAGTAATCACACTTTCAATAAAAATGTAAACTTGCTAAATTCACTTTTGTTCTTTGTGACCCCAGAGGTCAAAAGGTCACATTTTCCGTTTTAGCACTAGGAAGATTTAAAGTAACAAATATCAGCGTAAAATATAAAAACTAAAGCGAAACCTGTTCTAATTAATAATAGGAACATTTAAAATTTATCTTTAGGTGGTCTTAGCACCGAACTTTTACTTTGGAACGTCGAAAATGATCTTGCATAACAGAACCAAAACGCTTCGGAGCCTGTTTCAAATATACACAAAAACTGTTAAATCAAAATCTCTCCGAATTAGTTTTACAACGAATGCTTTACATAATGATACTAGTTGTCTGAAAAAAAAAACAATTGAACACTTCCATGGCTTGACTTCAGCCTGCAGGCCGCGTCACAAATCCTGCCCAAATTTTCCTCGCTAACATTTACCAATACGACATATATATCCTGTGAACTACTATGTACAATGCATTCGTCGGTTTTATCTGCGTCCCTAATCCGGCGAAATTCATAAAATCTCATAAAAGATTTGCAAACTTTTAATTTCGTCGTCAGATACGTGTTTTCCCGTCACAGATTAAGGTTGGGTTTCCTAGACTGGGATTCTCAGAAATCCAAGTGGCCTGCAGGCTGGAGTCCAACACTGAAACTATTCAATTGTTTTTCAGATAACTAGTATCATTATGTATAACAATCGTTGTGAAAATAAATCGGAGAGATTTCGATTTGACAGTTTTTACGTATTTTTGAAACAGATTTCAAAGTGTGTTGGTTCTGTTATGCAAGATCATTTTCGACCTTCCAAAGTAAAAGTTCGGTGCTAAGACCACCTAAAGATAAATTTTATATGTTCTTATAATTAATTAGAACAGGTTTCGCTTTAGTTCTTATATTTTACATTGACATTTTATTGCTTTAAATCTTCCTAGTGCAAAAACGGTAAATTTCACCTTTTGACCTCCAGGGTCACTAAGACCAAAGTTGAATTTAGCAAGTTTACATTTTTATTGAAAGTGTGATTACTTTCGATCATTTTCAGCGTCTTTTCATAATACAAGAATGACTGCGCATTCACTTTCAGTGCAAATGAACTCATTTGACCTTTGACCCCAAATATCTCGAAAACGCCCCAATGGCGGACTGATTACCACTCGGCATCGTATTCTACGCAAAATTTCACTCTAGAAAAGTTTGGTCTGGTTTTGTCCCCATTTGATGGACCCCCCCCCCCCCCCCGAGCCTCCGGTCTAAGTACTTACTTTGTTTGTACAGGGTCTCTGCCATCCTTATGAATGATTTCTAACATAACTTGATTAGGACCCATTTTAGATAAATGAGTTTCATCTGCTAAGTTTTCTGGAAGTATAGCTACAAAGAAATATCAAATCTATTAAAAAGAATATTGGTAAGCACGTAAAAGAACCATTGATATTTGGAATTTGAAATACGAATAGCTCATAGCGCCAATGTCCAGGCAAAATTTTCCTACAAAGAACACTGTTTGGCCCCATTTTAGATAAATGAGTTGCAACTGCTAATTGTTCTTGAAGTATGTCTACAAATTGATTAAACTGATTCGGATGGCACGATAATCTGAGGGCCCGTCTACATGTTAGTATACACGTTTAAGAACCCTTGATATTTGGAATTTGAAATAATAATAGGCCATAGCGCCAATGTCCAGGCAAAATTTCCCACATAGCACACTGTATGGTTTATGCTCATCCTCTTTAGACCAGTCGGTTCAGACCAATAGGACGTTAAACCCATTTCATTGTATATTTAAAAGAGGTCCATCAACAGAATTACAGAAAACATGTTTATAGTATCAGCAGAGAATACCAAATGTTGCGAAATATCAATCTTTCAGAAATTATAGGTGGCACTGGTTTGTTTATATCATTTGGGTGGAGAGAAGGCTGAATGTTGGATATTTCTCAATTCATCATAATACATTTGTAAATAATGAGTGGAATTGAACCATTTATGGACAGAGATTAAACATACATTATGTGAGAGCTAAATCAGCATATTGCAAGTCTTTCTTTAGGCCTGAAATGTTTTCTAAATTATCAATTAGACATTAATTAACTGATCCAGGCCATAATCAACTCTCAATGGCATCAGATTTCTCCGATATTAAATAGATTAGAACATTTCAGCCATATTTTGATTTAAGCTAAAAATAGAGGAGCGAGACTTAGCTTCTTTCAACCAGTACGGTGGTAGAAATTATTGCACACGTCTTTCAAACCTTCAAAAGCTCATATCTTCGCTCGCAATAGAGTAAATCGAATGAAATTTGCTAATTATTCATTTTACATTATCTATTTTCGAAATATTATAGCAAGAATGGCTAGCTCTTTATCTAAATCTTACATAATGTATCTTTAATCTTTAACAATATTGTCATTTGCAAGGAATAAAAAATCCCTAAAATGACCATCAACAGCTTTATGATACTTACAGGAATTTCTGACAAAGGCATGAGCAGCAAGTAGTTTTAAGGTATGCACCTCAAACAAGACAGGATGGAAGAGAAGTTGTCTCGCTGAAGGACGTTTCAAATGATCAGTCTGAATACACTTAGACAGGAAATCCTACAAGAAAAGAAAAATAATATTGATTTTATACATTAAATTTATAACATTCTGGCTGATATGAAATGGGATTTAACGTCCTAATGTTGTGTATCAAATGGTCTAATAAAGAAATGAATATTCCACGGTGGACAGTAGACTTTGAGGGAAATTTTGCCCGGAAAGATGAGCTACGGTCTATTTTGTATTCTCCAATTGTCATGGGATACTTTACATCCACGCAGGACCTCGGTTTTTCGTGCTATTAGAGCAACAACATGTTGTTCCTGGCCAGGCTCTATGTTCTCCACCACAGACAAGTGGAAACTGCACTGGAAAATCCTGGGGCAACAAGAGAGGGAGTCGCACCTTACCCACCGCTCTCTCAACAATCTAGCATAAATAATAGCTTTTACTGCAATAAACACCAACTGTCCATCCTGTCAATCTAATTTCAAACTGGACCTTTGTGAATTTCTGGCTCAACTTAAAGAAACAGTAAGAAATAAAGCAAATTTTCAAGCTAATTTCCAAGCTCCTACTGACCTTCTGTAGTGGATTTTCTATGCTCTCTAAAGTTTTCTGTATGGCTTCTGGTGTTATATGATTACCATTGTCGCTACCTTGAATACCAAGGGCAGCCATCTGCAAAAGTTCAGAAATTTAATTTGTCTTAATTTAATTACATGAAAATATATGATACCAAGTCGTAAGATCATTTAGAAATTAGCAAATATCTAGGATCAGAATGAAGTAATTTAACTGAAATTTTCAGCATATTCCCTTTACATTATCTTCTTTTTTTTATCTATAACTATTATAGCGAGAACTGTCAGCTCTTTATCTCTAATCTTCCATAATCCCACTTTAATGAGACCCAAGATTATCCGAGAACCAGAATATCTTCTTTATATAGCCTGATATGTTTTGTTCATGAGTATTTTAAACAGTAACAGAAACAAACCACCTACCTCCAAGGCACACATTCCAAAGGAATAAATATCAACATACACTGTAACAGATCCTGAAGTAACCAAGACAACAATAATAATAATATGATCCCTACAGTGATTGAAATCATACAATGTTTTCTAAAATAGGTCTACTATCAGTCATATGTTAGATAAAATATCAAACTGTACATTATGTATTCAGTATGAATGCCCATCCAATGACTGGATGCTGTTACTTATTGTGATATGACATACTGTGATATATGACAATATCCCATATTGACTCAACTTACTATGATATATGATGATATATCACATAGGCTTATATATAACTGACTATGATATATAATATCACATTGGCTTATATATAACTTACTATGATATATAATTTCACATAGGCCTATACATAACTTACTATGATATATAATGTTACATTGGCTTATATATAACTTACTATGATATATAATATCACATAGGCTTATATATAACTAACTATGATATATAATATCACATAGGCTTATATATAACTTACTATGATATATAATATCACATTGGCTTATATATAACTTACTATGATATATAATATCACATTGGCTTATATATAACTTACTATGATACATGATAATATCACATAGGCTTATATACAACTTACTATGATATATAATATCCCACTGGCTTATATATAACTTACTATGATATATGATAATATCACATAGGCTTATATAGAACTTACTATGATATATGATAAGATCACATAGGCTTATATTTAACTTACTATGATATATGATAATATCACATACGCTTCTATATAACTTACTATGATATAAAATATCACACTGGCTTATATATAACTTACTATGATATATAAAATCACATTGGCTTATATATAACTTACTATGATATATAATATCACATAGGCTTATAATTTAACTTACTAGGGCATTTGATAATATCAATCTGATTAAAACACAGACCCTATTTTGTTTCGTTTTTTAGTTAAAAATTTCGTTTTATTTGTCTGTACTACACTAGGATCTGGAAGAGTTGTTATATAACAGCCGTTCTGGATGGTGTGAGCGATTAGCGAATGAAACCATCTGTTACGGTGATTTCTTGGCGTGCCATGCACGGAACTGTGGGTAAACCACTAGAAATGTCAACGTGGACTGATCAATCAATGTCTGACGTCATAGGGTCAAAAGCCGTTCATACAACCCCTGATGCGACCTTCAAGTGCAACTTGTCAGATCTTCATGTAGTGTAGGTCATCGAAAGTATAAAAAAACGAAACGAAATACCTATCAGTAATTTTATCAGATTGTGACAATATAAGCTTATTTTTAACTTACTTCTATATAACTTACTATGATAATATCACATAGGCTTGTAAAAATATTATCTTTAATTCTAATTACCGGTATATTAATCAGAACATCGTAGGTGGTGTTCAAGCATTCATTATTACATTATATTTCTTGCTTACAAATAAACCCTTATTGTTTAGTAAACTCTGGTAAACATTGTGAAATAACAAAAACAGAATTTGTGCATTTAACCTCAAACAACAAAACACCTGAAAATCAACAAATATTCGGATTTAAGAACAGATTTTTTTTCTCCACTAAGTTCTAAGAAACTAAAGAAACCAGAATAGAAATAAACAAACTTCTATCAACAAGCATAAACACACTTTAAGGAAAGGAATTTAATTAAAATACTTTTGAGATTGATATAGAAATTTTCATTTTAGATAACACCAATTTGAACTTTTGTTATTATTTATTGTTGGGGTTAGGGTGGGGTGGGGGAAATAACTTAAAAGCTAAGGGAATAACTTAAAAACCAAAAGCACTTATTCGCTCTTCTCAAAGGCTTTAAGTTCTACATGTTTAAGTTTTGAAATTTCGACAACAATAAATTGTTGATGGGAATTAAGTGGCTATTTAATTATTAAAACCCCTAAGAACTAAAAGCGAAATTTGGCCTTTGGGAGGAAACGCTTCTCTAATGAGCTGCTAGTATATTTCAAATCCACAATATTTCCACAGCCTCAAATCAGCAAGGGTAGTATATAGATATAATGTCCCTGAACCACACCTATGGTATATTAGTAATATGCTAAACTAAGTAGAGTAACCATTTCGTATACTATTTTATTGTTTTTTGGTTGTTTTTTTTTTATCAGATGGACACAGGGAGTGGATACGTAGCGTCATGTACATGTACTAAGTATTCAAAGCATATTCAAAGCGTTCCTAAAACCATCGTTTCAAGCAAATAAAGCATTAAATTATCTCAGACAATATCTGAAAGTCGCTCATAAAATGATTAAACCTTTTAAACCAAGCAGAATAAGAAAAGAACAAAACAGAAAAAGTGTGTAATCAGTGACGTTGGTGAGACAGGTGCCCCCCACCCTTAAAATTTACACAGAAACCGGTAAATTTAAAGTTATTTGTTTAAAACTGCATGAAATTAATGAGATTAGGCATCAGGAGAGTACTTCCTCCTGGTTAGCGACCCAGCTACTTTCTAACAATCTCGGCTCCCAGAGAGAAGTTTACTGTTTGTTTCTCTCTGGGAATCACGTCGGCCATGTAAACATCTCTCTGTGAACCGAGATTGACTTACTAATTCAGCCATGGTAGGTAGCTACTCAATCTGCATGAGGTTAATCAGCATTATTAGCTTAGCAGTAATATTATACTAATATTAATATATATATATGTTTGATATTTTTACTGTTAAATGTGTGAAGTGCAAGCTTCAAGCATGTCAGATTGAACAGCCATGTGTGTTAAATTTTCCTGATTCCGCTCATCGTCACTGATTGAACAAAAAGTATGTGACAGCAATTTTCTTGTCATTAATTTATAAGAAATTTTAACCATATTTTCAACAAAATTTCTTGGAACGTTTAAAAACAAATTTCAATTCTTTAGATCATATCCAAATTATTTTACCATTTATAAATATTCAAGATAATGCACATTTTTCCTATTTCAATCGGATCGAATTTCTTCTATTAATACTTTTAAAAGGAAGAAGAGTCAAGATCTTGCTCTAAATTTTAAACTACATATCTGTTAATAAGCAGAGAGAAAATTGCTAGTACTATTAAAGTGGGCACTGGCACACAGACAGAGTGGCCCACCTTTGTGGTTGGTGTTAATAGGAGGTCTTGGTGAACCATGCTGCTTTGACTTACTGCCATATTCTGGGGAGATACAGTGCATGTTCTTCAGATCATCACGATATGTCTTGACATGAGTATGTATAGCATCAGGCGCAACTAAAATATAAACAATAGCAACATGAATAGGTACAAGCCTTCAATCAATAAACCCTACATTTATCACAGAAGGCAATTACTTTTAAAATTGGATAGTAAAATCCTAGCCATGCCCATTTCAGTAACACCCCTTCGTGCCAATTTCAGTAACATACCCCCACCCTTTTAACTTCTTTAGGGTGGGATAACCAGCGGCTGCCAGGCAGGATACGCCCACATTTTCGAGAGATGGATAGAGAAAAAGCTAAAAAGAAAGTGATTTTTCCTACAATCAAGGGCCATAATTCAGGAAATTACAATTCGATATGTGCAAATATCGAAAGGAACCGAGATCTTTGTGTTATAAAATTACATTTCAAGTTTCAACAAAATCGGATAAAAATTGTGACCTCTATAGGGTCCACAACCTTGATATACCATATTTTTACGCTATTTGAGAACGAACAGTGGCCATTTTGTCTGTCAATTTTGGGCCAATTTTCACGAAATTCGAACTCAGCCGTCCTTAGGGTGTAACGGTGATATAATAATATGTTTTTTTAAATCGGATAAAAATTATGACCTCTATAGGGTCCACAAGCTAAAGACGCGATTTTTCGTACAATAATGTCCGATATGCGCGAATATCGAAAGGAACCAAGATCTTTGGGTTATAAACTTACATTTCAAGTTTCAACAAAATCAGATAAAAATTGTGACCTCTATAGGGTCAGGGGCCATAATCCATGAAGTTTCGATCCGATACATGCCAATATCAAAAGCAGCCAAGATCTTTTGGGGATAAACCTATATTTCAAGTTTTGTCAAAATCGGATAAGAATTGTGACCTATAGAGAGTCCACAATCAATTGTGGACGGACAGACGTCCAGATGGACGGACGGACGGACAGGGGCGACGGCATAATACTTCCACATGAAAATGTGGGCATATAAAATCAAGTATAAACAATAGCAACACGAGAATGCAAAAGCCTACAAAAAGTACATGCCAACTGTAATGCTGATGTCCCCTGCCCCAATACCATCCAAAAAGCATCAAGTACAAACAATAAAACTAAGCCCAAGCAGAAAATGCTGATAAACACCGGCACCGGGGGGGTATAGTAACATATGATAAAATTTTATACCTTTATTCCTTGGGGTAATTCGCGCAGGAGCGTTGGGGTCTTTAGTGGTGGGTGGAAACTGGGGATATGTCCAAAACCCACGAGGTAAGGAGGCAATCTTACTCCTTGTCATGTACATGCAGCTTCACTTAGTGACAGACCTTATGATCTAAAGCGTACACATGTGCATGTTAGAGCACAAGCCCCCCTCTTATACAGTAGAACCAAACAAAGATTCAAGTTATTGAACTCACCAGATCCAATTTTAATAAGTCCATTGTGCTGAATAAAGATTGTATCACAGGTCAAATTGCCATGAATGATAGGTGGATCACAGGAATGTAAATAGCTGCAAAAAATACAAATAAAAACAGATTAACAACTGATTTCATCAAATCTTATATACCTACAATATGGTTGTACATGCACAGTCGGAGATAAAACTTCAAACTGCTAACAACGTCAAAACATACTCACCTTCAACAAATATACTTTACCTACAATATTACACATGGATTAAACTTGTTAATTCCTTTTGACAGGTAAATCCACATGGGTGTAAAGTCAAGATTGGATTCATAGATGAGAAAAAGATAACACGCCCAAAAAACAATACAAAAACATTGTGAGTGTATTCTGAGCATTTACTGTTACTTACTAACAGGTGCCCCTTTTACACTAGAGAACCCGGAGGTGACATGCTATTACCTACATGTATGACCACAAATCGTTTACCTGCATAGCTTTGACAACTTACCTCAAAGCAGATAAAATTTGTGTACACCAACGTTTCCATGCCTAAAACATACAAAAGTAGAATTAGGACGCAATTAATTAGCTAGGCATTTCTTAGAACTACCCATATTCCAAGAAATGCTATGCCCTAATACATATGGAATCGCATTGAAGGGGAGGTTACTCTTACCTTGAGCAGGAATGGTTTGTTGTTCTTTTTGGTCTTTTTCAGGAACTGTTTTAAAGATCCAGATGACATGTATTCAGTAATAAAGATTACCTGTGGAAAAACAATCAATTCTTAATTCTTTAGCTCTAATATCGAATTCCAACTGTAAAGGTGTATGTTACATGCAAGACAATATGTACATGGGATCTCTCTGTTTTCATACCATCCAAACGACTAGCCACTGTCCTAGACAGCCCCTTCATCCTGCACCACTGCCATAGGGAAACTGAAGGAACTTCTTGGCCCACACTTAGAGCAAACCCTAGAGCTCCTGATTAGAGAGACAGAATCTTACTGACTTCGCCACTGCGGCTCCCCCACCCTTATCACACAGACAACTTAACCACCCAACTGCCTTAACCACCCAACTGCCTAAGATAATAAAATATATAATTGTATGCTAAACTACTAATATTATTCTAACAAAATCAAACTTACTCTTGGTTTTTCACTCTTCGAATCTGTCCAATATTTATGGAACTTGATAATGTTTGGATGATCCAACTGAATCAAGTTGTCAAATACTCTTCGAATTTTATCCTAAAAATACAAGAAAATATTTGACTAAAATCGGATGTCAATTTCATTCTGTTTCATTTTTCATGATGTTAAGCCCAGGACATCGGAGCAAGGGTGTGTGTGTGTGTGTGTGTTAAACATACATGTACATGTGTTAAAACAAGCCAACAGTGAGGCTGATGTCCCCCGCCGAAATAGGAAAATAATTAGAGGACACATATAAATTTATCACAAATAAGCGGAACGGACAGACAGACAAACAGACAGACGGACGAACCCATTTTAATAGTTCCCTGCTTTCTTCGAAAGGCGGGGGACAATCAAAGTAGGAGAGTTATTGTTTTCCAAAGTCTCGACCAATCAAATTGCGTATCGCTCTGCTTACCCTGAGCAGAAAATGCTCATTATCAAACTTAGTCAAGGTATTACTGTAATGAAACTATACACCAAGTTTCATCAATCTCACTTAATTAGAACTAAAGTTATCGTGTCCCAAAGCATCAACCAATCAAATTGCTTATCTCTGCTTACCCTAAGCGGAAAATGCTCATCTTCGAACTCCATCAAGGCATTGACCTAATCAACACATACACCAAGTTTGAACATTCTAGCTCAATTAGGAAGAGAGTTATCGTGCCCCAAAGTATCAACCAATCAAATTGCTTATCTCTGCTTACCCTAAGCGGAAAATGCTCATCTTCGAACTCCATCAAGGCATTGACCTAATAAACACATACACCAAGTTTGAACATTCTAGCTCAATTAAAAGTTATCGTGTCCCAAAGCATCAACCAATCAAATTGCTTATCTCTGCTTACCCTAAGCGGAAAATGCTCATCTTCGAACTCCATCAAGGCATTGACCTTATCAACACATACACCAAGTTTGAACATTCTAGCCCAATTAGGAAGAGAGTTATCGTGTCCCAAAGCATCAACCAATCAAATTGCTTATCTCTGCTTACCCTAAGCGGAAAATGCTCATCTTCGAACTCCATCAAGGCATTGACCTAATAAACACATACACCAAGTTTGAACATTCTAGCTCAATTAGGAAGAGAGTTATTGTGTCCCAAAAAGTGTGACGGACAGACGGACGGACAGACAGACGGACAGACAGACGGACGAACCCATTTTAATAGTCCCCTGCTTTCTTCGAAAGGCGGGGGACAATAAAAGAGAGAGAGAGAGAAATGGGGTTTAACGTCCACTCGACACAAACTAGATCATTTCGGGACTAACATATGGTTTAATTTTATTTCAATAATTCGCTTGCGCGTAGGGGTCTTTAGCAGTGGAAGGACCCGGAGAAAACCCACGAGGTTGGACAGGCGACCCTACTCCTTGTCACGTACAACCGGGGATTCGAAACCACGCCAGTCGACTCAATGACAGACTTTATGATACAGCGCGCACGCTAACCATTCAGCCATCCAGTTAACAGTCAACATTTGGGAAGTAAAATTTAACCATGTTAAAACGAGTTTTTATCAATGATGAAAACTAAATCAAACATCTTTATTAAATAAGAAAACCAAACATTTGAATAGAAAACAGCCATTGATTAACACGACACATGTGTTTCCATTATATCATTAATACCTGGTACATGTACCTAATAAAGCATGAATTTCAAACACAAAACAATTTTTATGCACCACAAATTTATTTCTTATTGTGGTTACTTATTGTCAAACGCGTAACATATGGTAATTTATGCTCTCACTGAATAAAATATTTTATGATAAAACGCAAGAATGTGACAAGAGTTGTCATATTTTGTTTTTATTATTAAATTTACCAGTAAATTCAACATTTTAACAACTTGGTATTGTTGTGAAATATGTGCAATTGGCAAGTGTAAAATAAAAACAAAATACTGAAAGATTGGCTCGCGTGTTAAAAGAAAAGACCCTTTTTTAGTTTTTGAATGTCTTAAGGGCGGCTTGTGTCAACCTTGCAACTAGGGCTGGCAATTGATACCAATTTTAAATATTGATATCGATATATCGAAAACTAGGGCTGGCAATTGATACCAATTTTAAATATTGATATCGATATATCGGAAAATTTGAAGTTGAAAGAAATAACTGTTTGTATGCTAATAATGCATTTAAATGTGTTGTTGATTAAATAAAAAAAAACCTATGATCCTTAAACTATGATTTCTTAATGTTTGTTTTTTTCACAACTTATCTAATGGTATTCGCAGCCTTGCGCTCGCCATCAATTGCTGTTGACATTTTTCCTCGGCTGCTTATAACAATAAATAATTTTCTATTAAAATCAAGTTATTTCCCCTGAACAATTAATTAATTATTCTTTGTCATTGTTGTAAACAATCGCAAAATTACCGGCGCGGTGATATCTTAGTGTGTGTGTTTTTAGTTTTAAGATGTTTTGATATTTTGAATGATATGGCGGTGATTATTTGACACAAAATATTGCGTTAATTTCATTTTATTGAAGCTCCTTTATTTTTTATATGAGTATCGATATCAAGAACTGAATATTGATATTTTCCCGTAGTCGCCGGTGATTATCGGCTATATCGATATTTTTCGCCAGCCCTACTTGCAACTGTAAGCAGATGCCATTTTGGCACCTGGGAGCAACTGAAAAGGTCAAAGCAACACGTTGCAGTCAGTGGCACATGTTCAACTTTTTGCAACTCGCGGCAACTAGTTGAAGTCGACATAAGCATTCTTACAACTTGTTTCTATGGAAATAACATCATGTGATAAGGGACATGTGATAAGGGACATGTGTCATGTGACTTTATAAATAAGCAAATGGAAGCAACGACGATACCCACTTTTCAAACGTTGATGATGTCGACAATAATATATTAACAGAATTGTGGCAAGACTGACCATGCCTTTGGGGTGCTTTCTTAAGTTATTCGCCATTTTATTGAACACTGCGACGAATAAATAACAGTCATGTCTTAAGTGTAATCGCTATCAGTTCTGAGTTGAGGTGAGTTTGCCGAATTCGGTTGCTCTCAGTTGTTGATATGATTGACGTAAGCACACTTTCAACTGACTGCAACTAGTTGCTTTGAGTGGCAAAGTCGACAAAAGTCCCACTTTAGTGTTAGTGGTTGTTCTCAGATATTCTAGTCCAGTGAGTATCAAGTCTTTGTCTTATTTGAACAAATATCATATTTAATTGTTATCTTTCCATCCGTTGAAGAAAATAAAACTCAAGAATTCTGACCTACATGTTCAATCATATTTAAGTACATGTATGGATAAAAAGAAAATCCTGCATTATTGCACTAGCAGAAAAAATGTCTTTTTTTCCTGGCAACATGCCGTTTCCGCGACGTCAAGACAAGTAATAATGATGAAATGACATGCAAGGACTTGTTGGTTTGTTGGGGGGAATGTGGAATATGACATTTAAAACAGAATTTACAAATTGAAACAGAAATGTGATAATAAAATATCACTTATTGCTGAGGTTTTATTTTCGTACCCCACCACCCCCACCCAAAAACATTGAATTTAGTTTATTGATAAATAAATAATTTACTTTCCTGCTGTTCAATGCTGGAATTACGTTAAAATTCTAAACTGAAGCTGTCACCTAGTTCTGATAACTATTGACGGAATTCTCCTATTATGACTTCCAGTAATTATATATATACATACAATAATTTAAACAATAAATTTGAAAGACCCATACCTGTTGAGCTTTAAAATCTCTTTTCTCTGAAAATTGAACCTCATTCCACACAACCTCCACTCCCTCTTCCGTATCCATAGCCAAAAAGGCATTGTCAATACCTGGTACATCTCTTTGTTCAACCTGAAAATATAAACAACCACAAATCATTACAATCTTATGTAAATCATGAACCAGTGGTTTAATGTCAACTCAACAGTGTCATTGAGAGAGAGAGAGAGAGAGAGAGAGAGAGAGGAGAGAGAGAGTGAGTGTTTAACATCCACTTAACTAGGTCATTTCGGAACCAACATAAGGTTCAATTTTATTTCAATCAATCGCTTGTGTGTAGGGGTCTTTAGCAGTGGGAGAAAACCCACAAGGTTGGACAGGCGACCCTACTCCTTGTCAAGTAAAAGAGGGGGAATCGAATGACAGACCTTATAATGCAAGATTCACATGTTAATCATTCGGCTGACCAACCCCATTTCGGGATTAATATGTGATTCTATTTTTATTTCACTAATCATGTAGGTGCCTTTAGCAGAGTGAAGAAATGGGAGGACCTGTAGAAAAATTATTACAATCTAGTGTAAATCATGAACAAGAATAATACATGTAAAAACATATATTGATACACACAAATCTGGCCTGAATATAATGAAAATGTCAGACATTAATGAAGTTGAACTCTGTGTCAAGATACATTAAAAAATATCAATAAAAATATGTATGACTGACAAAATGGCAAACCATCAGAAGAATAGCAGCTGACAGGTGGCTTATATTTAGGATTGCACAAAAAGTCAAAAACACGTACAAAAATATACAAATAAAAATATGCTCATGTTCATGTACATGTATACAGAGATCACATTTTGAAACAAAAACCATCAAAACAAAGTTTATATACATGTATAATGAATCTATATGAAATGAAATGGCTTTAAACGTCCTTCTCTTCTACTCCAACTGGACTAATGAAGATGGATGTATCTATATGTATTTTGAATTTGAGGTGTTTGATTCTTGATTCTCTTATGAAGCTGATATACATGTGGAAGCTCTTATTAGCAATAGCACTGATGCACTATATTATGCGATCGTACAAATGTACCAATACCATTATTTCCTGTCAAAAAGCACAAATATTTGAACATGAAGCCTGTACTCCATTGGACACTTTGGCTTTCAAAATTGCATTTTTGGATTGGAGAACTCTCTACATACAAGTCACAATTCTGTGGAATAAAATTACAGCATATTACTTAGCGACGTTTTGACTATGCTTCACTAGTCATTATCAATTAATGATAAAATATAACGAGGCATCATACATGTATATATGTAAAAAACAACACTTGGTTAATGCTGGCCAACAAGGGTTACCCTTCTAATAACCTTGAATGAAACCTAACTTAAAGATACATTAGTTAAGAGTTTAATAAAGAGTTGGTCATTCTTGCTATAATAATTCAAAAATAGATGATAAAAAAAGAATTTATTGAAAATTTCATTCAAATTACTTCATTGTTTGTAGTTTTGACAAGATGTGTGCACAGTGGTAACCAGGGCACTGGTATAATCGGGACTTCGCCTCGCTTTCACATTTTTAAATTAAATTTTTAAATGGCAAACCGTTTTAATCTAGTTAAAATCTTGAGTATCCAATGCCATCGAGAGTTGATTATGGTCTTGTTTTGTTAATAAATGTCTAATTAATAGTTTATATAACATTTCAGGCTAAAGAAAGACCTGCAATAGGCAGATTTAGCTCTTGCATAATGTATGTTTAATTAAAGTAATGATATTATGAAAGTGATCAAGGTTGTTAAGGGTAATTGATCAGCACTAAATAACATCGCTCAGTAATAAGCAGTAATTGTATTCAATTGAATTGTGACCTGTATATTTCAGTCTAACTACCATTGAAGGAAACCTTACTTAATTAAAGTAACGATATTATGAAAGTGATCAAGGTGGATATGGGTAAAACAACGTTCAATAAATGCCTCTGAAACAACTCTCTACAACTTTCATTTTTAGAACCGAATCTTTTCAATTTTGAGCGAGTAGATCACCTCGACCTGATAAATAAAGACCATTTATTTTGATCATTATGATATGGTAATTCAAATGATTGATATTTTCAAAATACATATTGACTAAATTCATGCCATTTAGGATTTAACCTATTTACATAATTTGTCATTTCTGCAAAGACTGCTTTCTAAGATGAATAGCTATATGTGCTCATAATACATGTAGATCATATTGGTTTAAGCCAAGGAGAATACAACCAAGTTATGTAAATATACCAATATGTTCCTTCTGTAAAGTTTAAAGGGCATTCAACAGTTATAACAAATTAATTTTCCATTGGATGTGATATTGATCTGACTATATAAATACATTAAGATTGTTGAAATCTGACAATCCATAGCAGTTTCATTGTAACATTAAGCTTAAAATGAAACAGACATGTTTAACGTCCTAATTTTCTGTATCAACTAAGCTAATAAAGACTGGTATATAGCATGCATGCAGTCTACAAGGGAAACTTTGCAGTCAAAGCCCAGCCTACTCTTTATTTTCATTTCCGACATGTACACAGGACCTTGAATGAAAGGATACAATTCCCTGTAAGGCCCTCTGTCACAAGGGGGGAACCATACTAGAAAAACCAAAGGTACTTTCTGATGAGCGCCTGATTTACTCACTCAGCTATAACTTTCAACTCCTTCTGATTATTCTGACATAATTTCTTTGAAGCTAGTTGCATTTTCCTGGTAAATTACTAAATTATGGAAATTGTAAAAAAAAAAATGATATACAGATTGTGTATGAGTGATGTGTTTAAGGTATGAGTGTCACTGTGATAGACACAATGTTGTTAACAAAACCCCCAATGGAAATGACAATAATTAGTTAGCATTTGCATATTTAGTGGTTTGCGAGTAATTACTGAAGTTGTTCTTGAACTCACGCTCACTGTAGAATTATATGTATAAGGCTGGACAAATTATTTAGTCTTGTCCTAGTTTTGAAGAAGCAAACATGTGAGAATACCTTGCCAGGTACTAAAACTTAATGTTGGTCAGGGCTAACACAGTGTAAATTTACATAAAATACTGGTACTAGGGTAGGAATTTTTCAAAATTAAGTATATTTATTTTCTGGGTGAGAGAGAAAACAGCTCTTTAAATCTGAAACTGTGTAAATGGAATGGAATATACTATAACATATTGCACAACAAGTAGGCTAATATTTACCATATTGGCTAGGCCAAACCAAATTGACTTTTAGTTCTTCAGAGTCTATCTAGCTAAATAATTAGTCTCCTACTTTTTTGCCTTAAAATTTTAAAACTTAAATAGTACTTTTTAAATAAATGTACAGTTCCCAAAGAAAAACAGTAATGTTTTAAAATTAAAGCATGTTTACACTACCATCATCATGTTCAGAAAACATATGAAATCTGGTTTAACCTCCCACTTTTCTGCACCAACTGGGGTAAAAGAAACAGGCAAGCACACAAGACTAAAAACATGAGGTCCTGTGTAAAGACAAAAGAGAGAGAAATGGAGTTTAACGTCCACCCGACACAAACTAGGTCGTTTTGAGACTAACGTATGGTTCAAATTTATTCAAAAGTTTGCTTGCGCGTAGGATCTTTAGAAGTTGGAGGAAACTGAAGGACCTACAGAAAACCCATGAGGTTGGACAGACGACCCTACTCCTTGTCATGAACAACGTAAAGATAAAAGAACCCTTAACAGTCTAAATTCAAAATAAGGGTAGGATGTATCGCTGCTGCCTAAGCAAAATTATCCTAATAGCACCCAGTCACTTCAAAAAATTAGAAAGTTACACTCCATTTGAATGCATTCCATTTCATTTCTTCACCAAGAAATCAAAATCTTTTACATCAGACTTTACTATGTCAATTAAAGATACATTATGGGAGATTCGGTAACGAGTTGGCAGTTCTCACTATAATAGTTAAACACTAGATAATGTAAAGGCAATTTGATGAAAATTTCATTCAAATTGATCCACTATGAACCGAGAACTAAGTGACTGAAATTTTCCCCTAGCCTCGGTCATCATTACTAAAGTCAGTACAATAAACAACATAGTCTCGATTATCCATTTAATCGTTAAATCAAGAAGGAAAGTTATGTATGTTTAACTGAAAGATACATGTAGTGTTGTTTACCTTTTTTTTTGGGGGGGGGGGATTTAAACGTGTGCACTTTAAATTAGATCATAAGGACTGAAGTTAAATACCATTTCTCTCTCTCTGTTTTACCATTTATGAGGTATTCTTTCATGTCATAAACACATGTGACAAGATAAAGAAAGCATGTTTGTATAGTAAATGCATGTGACTTGTCAATCTAGACAGTTACATTTGTATTATTTATATGCAAATGTATCAAATTTTGACCCACATATTTTTCAAACTCTAAATAACCAAGAAGGTAATTGAATTAACCTAATTCTCCATCACTATGTAAACAAGGCAAGTAATTTATTTATGACACACACTATTCATTGCATCTGGTTAAATCAACAGAATTGTTTCCAAAATAAACTAAACTTGATCATTTTATTATACGGATGATGGGTAGTGGTTCAATAATATCAAGAAACTACTATGGCAAATTAATTTAAAAGACTGAAACAATATTACTTTGGGATCATAATGGATCACCACCAATCTGCAGACAAATAATTTTGTCAATTTTGGTGTAATTCATAGAACTTTTAACATCGATTATCTACAAAATATATGGTTCATTTGTCAATCCAATCCATTATTGACATTGATTCTGGTTAATGGTTCAATAAATTTTTCTATAATCAAGTACTGGGAACAAGTTGTAACTTTTCTGGCTAACTGAATCTGATATTTTTAAGTATTGAGAGAGAGAGAAATGGGTCTTAACGCCCACTCACACAAACTAGGTCATTTCGGGACTTACATATGGTTTAATTTTATTTCAATAATTCTCTTGCGTGTAGGCGTATTTAGCAGTGGGAGGAAACCGGAGGACCCGGAGAAAACCCACGAGGTTGGACAGGCGACCCTGCTCCTTGTCACGTACAACTGGGGAATCGAAACCAAGCGAGTTGACTCGATGACAGACTTTATGATATGGTGCGCACACGCTAACCATTCAGCCATCCAACCCACCTTTAAGTATTGAGAAAACTTTGTTTGAAATTTGCGCTCTGTAGTTATCTCAATCCGATTAAAATACAGATCTTTATTTCGTTTATTATACTTTCGATGGTCTACACTACATAAATATCTGACCAGTTGTTTTGTGGTGCAGAACGGAGGGCCTGACAAGGACAGCTGTCTAGTCCTTCGGATGAGACGAAAAACCGAGGTCACGTGTATACATTGGAATGCACGTAAAAGATCCTTTGGCAGTTGGAATTCGATATAAGAGTAGGCGATAGTGCCGCTGCCCGGGTAAAATTTCCCTCATAGCACACTGTATGGCGTATGCCCGTCTTCATTAGCCCAGTATAGGAGCAGAACAGTAGGAAATGAAATGAAATGAAATGGGGTTTAACATCCTACTGTTCTGCTCCTAATAATGTGACACCCAAAAAGGAGCTTAAAATAAACACATATAGTCTACCCGAGATTGTGTATAAGCCTAACCCTATTTTAAACAAACATGTCAGGTACAGTAAGCAGTTTCACATTATTCTAACAGTAACAACTCACAACTGTAGTTACTGTAAATTGTATAAGTACATGTATTATGATGTTGATTACAATCCAATTAATTACCGTTGATTAAATTATTATTTGGATAATATCAGGTGTGACAAAACATTGTACCAGTACTTTATTTTGTTTAAAAACAGAATGCCATTTGAATTATAATTTTAAATGCTTGTTTTTGTTTTTGTTCACATTATAATTACTTTTTTTACAGTACCGTACTGGCGTACTTAGTTTTGTTTGCTTTTCACGTTGGTACTTGGATCAAGTCTTTAGAAAAAAGGTACCGGTAGTTTATAGGACAAAATCTAAGGCTGAAAATAGCATGACAAACTTATTTGCAGATTGCTAGTTATTAGGTCATCAAGAAAAATTATTATGATTTCACTGCTCTTTGATCATCCTGAATAACAAAAGCATATTTAACCTCCATCCAATGACTACTGTCGGCTAGTGTGTTAACAAGGCTCTGTAATCCATGGGGAATAATTTTCTTTTGACACACCTAAATCACATCCAGGGGACGGATGGATTGGTTGATCTGATGTCATGTAAGCCTACAAACTGCATACATGTATATGTGTGGGTAATAAAAATATGAGCACTTTAAATGCCTACATGTTCTGTCAACAACTCCCAAACAGAGTCAGGGACATATGGACATGTTGATCTATTGTCAATGTCAAATAACCTGCACGCTATTCACTCTTTAAAAGTAGCTACATGTAAGTCTCTAACTCAAAATCATCCAAAGTCTTCAATGTTGAAAACACAAATTATTTGTCAATTTAAATCAACATTGATGTTTTGATCTTACTGGGAAAAGATGGGCTTCTGATATCCAATATATAAGACAAAATAAACATTTTACCATTGGTACCAGAATCCTACATACCATAATGCATTTCAGCGCCATTTGTAACAAGGGACTTGAAGAACGAGGCTAAACATATTCCACAACTACAAATCATGCCAAACGGTGCCACCATATTCTTATCTGGAGAGCCTGCGCAATAAATATTATTGGTGTAGACTGAAATAACTAGACGCTAGAGATTTCCATTCACTTGAGACTTCTGACCTACGGTATTTCGCCAAACATAACTGATTAGAAATTACAGTAAAAACAGAAATGATTGAATGTGATCAGTCTATATGTATTCATATTATTATGTGTTGCGACCCATTTGTGGTGTCAATTCCTAGGTCCCAAATATGAAATATTAGCGATTTAGCTCCTTTAAATTAAATGGTCATGTTCTGTCAACAAAACCTATCCAAGAAAGGCAAACAGGTTGGTAGGTAATTACTATTTTTACTCGGATAACGGTGGCATGCTGTGGTGTTTCGTTGTTTAACCTTTAGGTCATAAATAATGGACCGTATGGTGAATACCAGGTTGTATCATGATAATTATTATTTTGCTGCTGATGTGATTCGAAACTTTAAGCTGTCTACATGGCTCAGGTCATGTCTCTGTGTTATCAAAAACAATAAGATGTGCATTAAAAGGTTGCTTGAGAACGCACGAAGAAGTCATTGACAAATGACATGCGTGTGTCAAGTTCACTAAAACATGACTAGTTGTAAATGTTAACCCACCTCTTCACGTCGCTTCTGCCACCTTCCACAAGGGCTTTCTTCAAGAACTTCACTTTCTTCGTCAGACTCGTCGCCACTGTCTGTTTTAGGAGGATGGCTTTCTTGGTCTGCCTCCGTCATTATGTAAGGCAATTAGAGCCTTTGGATGTCTGTGTTAGCTTCCAAAACAAAAATTCGGTCACGTCAAAATGCTTCAGCAGAGGTTTACTCGAAGAACAAGAGTCCAGACGTCTAGCATGGCAAAATGACTGTGCTACAACTGTCAATCAATAACCGTACACTTAGATGTCTGATCGTCCTGATTGGATAATATTTGGATAAATACGCAAACTTATAAGTCTGTGATATTATAAGAAATGTTTTGATTGTGAATTAACATATGAGGGTTAGTTTTATTATCGAAACATTTGATTGATTAGGAATTGAAAGATAATTATCTGGATTAGTAACTATTTTTGACCAATCAAACTTCGGATGATAGACATTTTTGTCTGCGTTTACGCAGAGGAGTCACGTGATATATTAATGCACCCGCGAAAGAAAACACACGTGGGAACTGTGTTTATATTATTCATAAAATGACAATCTTTCCAAATTAATTGTGACAATATTATTAACAATGGGTGCTTATTTAACCCAGCCTATTACTGAAAAGGTTTCCGAGGACAAAGCTTTCAAGGGAATGACATACGGAGCATCGTCTATGCAAGGATGGAGAATAACTCAAGAAGTACGCCATTTTATTACTACATTGTCATTGTCGTCATTACTCATTGTCTAACTTCATTCAAAATTTGCCTGTAACCAGAAATTTGTCATTTTTGCATTTACATCTGAGAGGACACCGGAAATTTCAACTTGCAGTGTTTTTTATTCGGGGTAGTGTTTAAATGAATATTTGTCGAGGATGATGTAACAGATTTTTTTTTTACATATTCATGATCAGGCATCATTTTTTTTTTTTGTGAGCTACGATAAAGTAGTTAAATTGTTGTGATATACTATAGGCCTACAGTGGTGATGTGTACTCTTTTTTTAGCTACGATCGCTTGGATTCCTTTAGTTTCCCCTGGCAAACTTAATTTCTTTATGTAAATGTACTAATGCATGTACATGTAACATTAAAACTATGTTGATTTTATACTATAGTATTAGAACATAACCAGCCCAATGCAATGTATTATGTAGAGTGGAACAACATTTTTTATTTGCAAATATTGTCAGTTAAGGTTAATCAAGTTGTCAAGCAGTGTTTTTATCAAATTTTTTAAAGCCATTCATGATTACGCTGCATTACATTAGTCATGCGCAACCCCCTACTTGTAGTTTTATTTCCTGTATCTTGATTTGCTGTTGTACGTGACATATATTTAGCCTCACCTTCATGACGTACATGTAAACCTAATGCCTTTTAAAATGTCTGGCAAAGCCAGCTGTTGGGCGATGGCAGTTTCAGATCATAATCGTCAATTCTCCACCTGGTTAGCAATGAGTAATTTGCCAATTGCATTTATCACTTGCAGAGACTTTTCATGATGCTATCATGAACGTAATGTAGCAGTGTACAGTGTTATAGGATATTTGCTACTGCACTGGGTAGCAAATAAAGACTTGCCTTAATTCAAACCTTAATCTCGCAACCCTCCGTGTTTCGAGATAAGACATGAGGCCATTACCTTCAACGTAGCACATGCGGGAACGATTCGCACCCAGCATTTGTAAACAAAATTGACAATATTTTTAATAAAAACGATTGATTATTGTTATTTATAATATTTCTGCCAGACCCAACTACAATTAGCATATAATCCTACCTGAAACGGGTTCAAATCGTTGTTTTTAAAATCGAGGCGTTAAACCGTTACTAAGACCGCCATCTTTTTAAACGATACGCTGTCATCATGAAGGCAGGGCTAAATATAAGGCTTTTATAACAGCCAATCAATAGGGCAATGAATGGATTTCGATGGCGGTTAATGTCAGACAAAAACAACGCTTCATTAATTTAAAAGCGAATATTTGGAGTTAGGCGACAGTTGTGCCACTACATTGGCCTCTGTAAGTTTAATTAATCATAATAGCATAAACTTATCTTATTTTAAAGACGTTACATGCATTAATAAAGAAATTGAATTTGCCACTTGGAAGTAAATGCATCCAATCGTAGCTAAAAACATCCAATCGTAGCTAAAAACAAACACATCAGTATATCTCAATGTTTTGAGCTACGTTCTCGTAGCTACGTAGGTATGAGCCTTCAATATGGACACTAGAAACATTGTGTATAATAATACTTATCCTGTGGATTTAACATTGTGTGTTACATAGTGTGAGTTATACCATGTTCATGTATGGACATTATATATTTACTGTGAGTTATTAGGAAATACACTCTCATGTATATTACACAGTAGTCTAATATATTATAGTTCATCTGTGTATTTAATGCCATGCATTACAAAGCATGTTGTTAATTATGCCATTAACTACACAATAGCCTAATATTAATTACCTGTGTATTTCATGTGATTAAATCTATACACAGTAGTCTAATATAGTTTATGTGTATTTAATGCTGTGTATTACAAAGCATGGGGTTATACACTGTAGCCCATACAGTGCTATGGATTACAATCTCTAAATGAAATTCAAAGATTATAACTATTGAGTTTATATGGAATAAAGTCAAGACTTAGAAAATTTCCACCATCAATCCAATAATTTCCATTTTTTTTCCCCTTGTAGTAAAGAACAAAGATAATTTTTGCAATAGTCTTTTTTCTTTTGTTCAGTTTGTTCAGTTAAATCCTGAAAATTGATCTGAAAATTAAAGATATAAATTTGTGGTTTTGATTCAAAGTGTTTATTGCACAGGCACTTGAAGGGATTAAAATAAAACTTCTTACTGCTGCTTGACTATATATTACATTAAGAACAAGGAGTATCAGCCGTCAAATTGTTTTGACTTGTTGACGACACTTTGTTTACTATTAGCTATCAATACTCACTCGTACTAACACTTCCCATCGTTTATGTTGTCAACAAGACTTTATTTGATCATTATTCAGCTTCCGATGTAATTAAATTGGCCATTTTGCAGTGTTATTAATTACAAATCAAACTTGAAGAGCTATCTCTTGGTGATAAGCAACTGCAACGGACTGGAAGTAAAAACTGTCAACAACTTTTTACAGTTAATAAGCGACCTAAAATTGTCTGTGGGAAATAAAAGTAGCAAAATCTTTGATTAACATTTGTGTAAATCAAGTTCGCTACTTTGTAGCAAATTGATTAGCAACGGGCAAATCTTGATTCGCGAAGTGCGATGCAAATCCGGTTATTGAGATCCCTGACTACTAGTAGTGGAGTAGTCTATGTTAAGATTTAAAACTGATCTGACGCTAATGTACTGGTTCGATATTTTGAATTTTATACCAGGATTTTGAATTTTGTGCCCAACATGTATTAGACGTACATGTATCAATAAAACACTGGGGAAAAAAAGTCAAATTTGTATTCACCAAAATGACTGGTGATGTTTATGCCTGACAGTGTATCTGAAAGGTTTAACCTATTATTGGGGGGTCACAGTGGCTAAGTGGGTAAGACACTGGCTCGCTAGCCTAGAGGTCCGGTGTTCGATCCCTGCATTGGCCAAGAAAGTTCATCCAGATTTTCCGGCGTGCCCCCCCCCCCCTTGACAGTGATGCAGGACAGCTGTCTAGTCGTTCAGATTGGACGAAAAACAGAGGTCCCATGTACAATTGGCGTGCACGTAAAAGATCCTTGACAGTTGGAATTAGATAACCAGCATGCCCCTGCAAGTGTTTTAGGCCATCAAATTTAAGCTAGTGTTTAAATAAAATTGCAAATACTTTGATAAATTTGAAATATAATTACTTTTATTTTTAGGATGCACATAATTGTATCACAGATTTTGATGAAGAAACTGATACATCATTGTTTGCTGTATATGATGGCCATGGAGGTACATACGTAATTTTTAATCACATTTTTATTATTATTCAAATTTCAATTAGACATCTTAATTAATGTTCCTTGAATGACATTTAGAAGTAGAGGTACAATATTCATAATAACACAACTTTATGGATTTACTACTTCTTAGTTTATTACATGCAACGTTTCAATACTCTTACAGGTATCTTTATCAAGCAATGATCAATAATGAATAATAACCTACATTTATAGTACATCCATGAGTAAAAACAATATAACAATCAAAACATAACATTAATTAAGATTTATAACAACAACTATTTCCCTTTGAATATGATGCTTGGTAAAAGGGATTTCACTTCTAAAATTTGAAATGCTAAAATATAAGAGACAGGGGCCAGAAGGACTTTCTATTACAAGAAAGTTCCCCAGGATTTTCCAGCGTTGTTTCCCCTTTTCAGTTGTACACTCTGAGGTCCTGTTTACATGTTGGCGTGCATCTAGATGAACAGTTGGATTTATATATAAGAGTGGGCTGTAGTTCCTCTGACCAGGTCAAATTTCCCTCGTAGCACACTGTGTGGTGTAAGCACTGTATGGAGTTGAGTTGTGTTTAGATTATAAGGAGTAGGATGCCCGTCCAATCTCATGGGTTTTCTCCTGGTCCTTTGGCCCCCCCACCCACTGCTAAAGAACCCTAAGCACAAGTGGATTATTGAAATAAAAATGTACCATGTTAGTCCTGAAATTAACTGGTTTCTGCTGAGTGGACGTTAAACCCCATTTCTTGCTCTCTCCAATCTTGTGTGTTTTTCACCAGGTCCCGAAATTAACTGGTTTGGGTCCAGTTAATGTTAAACGCCTTCTCTCCCTTTCTCTTTACTTCAGGTTCTGAAGTTGCCCAATATTGTGCCCAGCATCTACCAGATTTTATCAAGAGTCTTCCTGAATATAAATCTGGTGATTTAGGAAACTGTTCACAGACAGCTTTTCTACAGTTTGATGCTACACTAACAGATGAAGCTGTTATTAAAGAGTTGAAGATACTGGCTGGTGATGATGATGGTGGAGATGAGGATGAAGGTATGAAAAAAAAAAATGGGGCCTTATTCATAAAAACTTAAAACTAAATATTTTAAGAAATCCGTATGGTTGATGGCTGGGCCCTAAAATCATAGCACAGATTTTCTCTAAAATCATAGCACAGATTTTCTCTAAAATCATAGTACAGATTTTAATTCTTCGCTAATGAAAAGGCTGCACTCTAAAAATAATTTTTGCTAAAGTTTTCATCTATAGCCTATAGGGCCCCTGATCCTGAATTCTAATACATAAAATTACAGTTGAGTACAAAAAAAAAAAATTATGGCTCTCGTATAACAAAAATAAACAAAATACTGTCATGTTATCCACATTAATGGGAGGCAACTCCATTTAATGTTTTCATTTAAAAATTTGATAAACGGCAGTATAATCAGTAAAGTTTAGAAAAGTAATACAAGAATAAGTGAATTCTTGTAAAAGTATGACTAAACAGATGATAAACTAAATATAGAACTTTGAATTGAAATATGATATTTGGGACGATCCTAACACCTAAAGACCCATGCGCACAAGCAAATTATTGAAATAATATTGAACTATATGTTTGTCCCAAATTTACCACATTTCTCTCTCTCTCTTTCAAAGTGCACACCTATAATTTTTTAATGAGTGACCTGACAAATGTGACTATTCAATACAGTTTACAATAAACAAAAGTACATGTACATGTATAGCAAGAGGTTGTCACAGTGCACCAACCCAAGCTACATATATAGACATGTTTATCCAAGCACAAAGAGATTGTAAGTCATGAAGTCTTAAAACTTAAGCGAACAGATGGTATTTTTTTTTGAAAATGCATCACACATCTCCAAATAGATGTTTGTAACTAAAATTAAACATACATTATGCAAGAGTCTATTGCAGGTCTTTCTTTAGGCCTGAAATGTTATATAAATTGTTAATTAGACATTAATTAACTTATCCAGACCATAGTCAACTCTAGATAGCATCGCTAGCCTGCGATCTTAAGTGGATTGTGAGCCGATTTACTACATAACTTTCTTTCTCAATTTAACGATTAAATGGATAATCGAGACTGCTGTTTATCGTACTGACTTTAGTAATGATGAACGAGGCTAGGCGGAAATTTCACTCGCGAAGTTCTGGGTTCATAGCGGATCAATTTGAATGAAATTTTCAGCAAATTGCCTTTACGTTATCTAGTTTTTAACTATTATAGTGAGAACTGCCAACTCGTTATCGAATCTCCCATAATGTATCTTTAATCAATTTTATTCATTGTCATCTGTCTGGGTGGGGTTCCTGCAGTCTGATTAAAACACAGATCCTTTTTCGTTTTTTATAGTTCAAAATTTTGTTGTCCCCCGCCTTTCGAAGAAAGCAGGGGACTATTAAAATGGGTTCGTCCGTCTGTCTGTCTGTCTGTCCGTCTGTCTGTCCGTCTGTCTGTCCGTCACACTTTTTGGGACACAATAACTCTCTTCCTAATTGAGCTAGAATGTTCAAACTTGGTGTATGTGTTTATTAGGTCAATGCCTTGATGGAGTTCGAAGATGAGCATTTTCCGCTTAGGGTAAGCAGAGATAAGCAATTTGATTGGTTGATGCTTTGGGACACGATAACTCTCTTCCTAATTGGGCTAGAATGTTCAAACTTGGTGTATGTGTTGATTAGGTCAATGCCTTGATGGAGTTCGAAGATGAGCATTTTCCGCTTAGGGTAAGCAGAGATAAGCAATTTGATTGGTTGATGCTTTGGGACACGATAACTTTTAATTGAGCTAGAATGTTCAAACTTGGTGTATGTGTTTATTAGGTCAATGCCTTGTTTATTTTGATTCTATCTGATAGAGAGTGATGAAACTTAATGTATACTTAATAATCAGTTTGATTGCTGGATACTTTTGAAAAAGATAAACATGCAATTAATTAATATATGTCATCTATTTATTTCGGGATTTCAGCGGGGGACATCAGCCTCACTGTTGGCTTGTTTAACTTATCTTTACTACACTAGGATCTGAAAGAGTTGTTTTATAACCCCTGATCTGGTTGATGTATTGGATTAGCCAATAAAACTGTGTGTTATGGTGAATTATTGGTGTGCGGTGCGCGGAACTGTGGGTAAACCGCTAGAAACATCAATGTTGATTTGTTAATTAAATGTTTAACGTCATAGGGTCAAAAGCTGCTCGTATGACCCCTGAGGCAATCTTCCACTGCAACCAGTTAGATCTTCGTGATGTGAAGGCCATTGACAGTATAAAAAACTAAACGAAATATAGATCTGTATTTTAATCAGATTGGGGTTCCTGCAATTCTGTTTGTTTTATATTTCTCAATTAAACTGTTAATTCATTTCAGCCTCTGCAGCACCATGTGTACAGAGTGAAGCAGATATGTTGAGAGCCGAGGCTAACATGCCGTTAGATCAGCTATTATCGAATTACGAACATTTACCGCCAGGAGCGGCCACTCGCAGCTTAAGAAAAAACGAACAGTTTTGCTCACCTATGATCCGTTCTAAGAAAATAGTTTTTGAAAACAATGAAGATGGACCAGGTGGCAGCAGCAGCAGTGTTCAAGATGGAGTTTCGAGTAGTGACTCGTGTAATAATAACTCATCTATCGTTCTATCCCTGGACGAAAAATTATTAACAAATGGACACGCGGACAATGAAAATAATTTGAATAAGGAAAAAGAAATACAGGATAGTTTAAATTCTAAAAATGAAAACAATAACTACGCAGACTCGTTAAGTGATGCTAGTGAAAGTTCATTACTCAAACGCGAGGAAATGCGGAGTATATCAAATGACGCAGAACCAAGTTCTAGCACAGATAGAATTAAATCACCCATTAAACAGATTACATCAGAACCAGAATGTAGTTCAACTGTAGGAAATTCTGAGGTAGGTCTAATTATATGTTGAATTTGTTGTTGAGGGAGTTGATTGGGTGGCCAAATGGTTTATGTGTGCACTAATGCCAGGTTCCCACTGTTGTGCATTGCGTTACGATAGGATTGTCGCTATTGAGTCTACAATCTGGTATGTGTCACATGTAGATACATGATAAGGTCAACATGATTGCCACGACCGTCCTTAATATGTGACAAGACCTTCTAGGATCACCACGATTACTCCACAATTAAAACCACGATTTCAATCGTACAGCACGAATCGTGAACCTAGCATTAAGGACATAATGTCCTTCATTGAGTCACGTGGTGTGGTTACGATTCCTAGCTTTTATGTGACAAGGAGTTTGGCTGTCTGTCCAACCTTGTGTTTTCTCTGGACTGCCACTGAGTGGATCTGTTGACATCCCTTAAAAATATCATTACTACCCATGCCGTGGCCAAAAGAAACTGATATGACATGCGGCATTTCTTCATATTTAACACAAATTATTGTTTTTGTCCATTCGTGGATGATAGACAAGCGGCACAATGGTTAGGTGACAACAATAATTAAAATTACAAAATTAAGAATCATAACGTTAAACGATATTTAAAACTAAATGTAACAATGCTGGTTTATTGACCTAATTCCAACCGATACATGTCACCGGGAATCGGCAAGCATTGGAGATCCTGATGGAAAAATATATTATTAATTAGTTTAGCGAACAATTGGTCGGTGAAATCATCAAATTTATGATCTAATTATTACTTTAATATCTACCTGGAATTCGTACGGATCGAGCGTTGAAGACCGCGTGAATCCCGAGATTCACAATCCATGCCGAGATGTCTTCATTCGCCTCATGGTAGGGGGTTGGATGGTCTGTCATTGGGTCAACTGGGGTGGTTTCGATTGCCCGGTTGTACGTGACAAGAAGTAAGGTCGCCTGTCCAACCTCCTTGGTTTTCTCTAGGTCCTCTGGTTTCCTCCCTATGCACAAGCGAATTATTGAAATAAAATTGAACCATATGTTAGTCCCTAATTGACTTAGTTTGTGTCGAGTGGATGTTAAACCCCATTTCTGTCACTCTCTCTCTTTTGCCTCATGGCTTATTTTCTCAAAGGAAACTTACTGGACCTGTTATGAATAACCAGCACTCTTGTTTTTTTTTAACGCAATATCAAAATTACTCTTAAATGTGCTAATTACTCGGATTATGAACCAGATGACCGGTTCTCACTAAGGTATCATTGTTATTGTAGCCTACAAGCAAGTTGTTTGTCGATATTGACATTATTTTTTGTAACTGGTTCATTTTTCAAGTCAATTTAGGCTATTTAGGTGGCAATAAAAAGTGCACCTTGATCGACATCCAGGGGCATCCAGGAGAGCGAGAGCGATCACGCTCCTTTTACGTGAAGGCCTTGTAAAAATCCCAAATGTAAAATGAATTGGGAACCAATTGACTAGATGTCGAGAGAATAACAAAACTGATCAGGAATTTATGCATTTTACCTTTTATAACATTTGTCTTCACTGGTTGACAGTCCATCCTTTGGACACTTTATCACAAATTCATTTGACTACCATGAATGTTCATGGTACAAATTTGAGTTAGCCAGGTGGGGATAAGTCATCTTTTGAAAATGCTTATGGTTTCTTTCATTAAAAATTTGTTTGATTAAATAACCTGATTATGCTCTAAAGCAACATCTTTTATATCTTTTATAAATGTTTCATAAAATTAATAATCAACATCTGTTTTACAGGATCATCCAAAATCCAAAGTTAGTGGACTTTCATCGTTATCAAATTTATCATCATCATCTTCGTCTGTAGCAAGTAGTTCTAGTGAGAGTGTATCAAAAGTGGGTGTCTCTGGGTCGTGTAGCAGCAGTGACTCAGGAGTGGCCACATCCTCATCCAGTTCCAGTCAGCCTGCTGGTGGCTCTGGGTGCAGCAGTAGCTCTGGCCCCACAGAGTCAAAAGAGTCAGCATCCAGTTCATCAGTCCTTGGTGTATCAACATCAAATTCCTCATCAGCAGGCAGTTCTTCAGAAATTGGAAATTCAGCAGCTAGTTCATCTGAAGCAGGTGGTTCATCTGAAGCAGGTGGTTCATCTGAAGCAGGTTCATCATCAGGGTCTTCAAGCAGCAGAAACAAAGGTCCTATATTTGGTATTGAAGATGATGAAGATGACGAAGATGATGAAGATGAAGAATATGAAGATATGGAGAGGTATGCTGATTAAATAATTATAGCACAATCAAATTTCTTCAAAATATGAAATTAGAAAGCATTTACTGAAAGAATGTGGCTGTCTTAACAAGGAAACAATTTTCCATAATTTCCAATCAAATGCAAAGTTAATGTATTCTATTTTTGTTTTTGTGGGAGGTGGTTGGGGGGGGGGGGACTTGATTACTATGAAAGTTAGTAATGTACTGTAGTTTTGGGTTGTTTTAATATATACAATGTGGATTATTATCAAAGATTCATAGTCAAAATCTTGAAATGTTTCAGTGAAGAAGATGAGGAAGAAGAAGAAGAGGAAGAAGAAACGGATGGTGAAGTGGAACAGCCTTATATGGATATGGCAAATGAGGAGGTAAGCACTGTTTTCTAATAATAACTCCTGTTTCATTTTATTTTCACGATCTCCTTGAAATTTGTTGAGACTATTTAATTAGAACAAATTCTGGTAATTACTTCTACAGGCCTGTGCTGTTCAGTTCTTTTCAAATGAATAAAATATTGTTTAAACTAATTTATGGCCTTAGTTCACATCGAAAAGTATGAATTCTTTATTTTAAATATTTATGTATTGTAGCCAGGGTCAGACAGTGGATGTACTGCTTGTTTAGCTTTATTACGAGGTAAACAATTACTGGTAGCCAATGCTGGAGATTCCCGCTGTGTCATATCAAGGGCTGGTGTGGCTGTAGAATTGTCCTTCGATCATAAACCAGAAGATGATTTGGAGAGAAAAAGAATAGAAAAAGCAGGGGGGAAAGTAACGGCAGACGGTCGTGTAAATGGTGGACTGAATCTCTCCCGAGCAATAGGTAAAAATATTTATGGACCAGAAACTGGGTGCCAAGCACTCCTCATTTTGTAGTTGTTGTTCTTGGTTGAGTAGTGTGACAAGGTGTAGGGTCACCTGTCCAACCTTGTGAGTTTCCTCCTTGTCATCCGGTTTCCTCCCACTGCTAAAGACCCCTACGCTCAAGCAAATCATTGTAATAAAATTGAACCATATTTTAGTCCCAAAATGACCTAGTTTGTGTCAAGTGGATGTTAAACCCCATTTTTCTGTCTCTTTTTTTTGGTGGTGTTGCTATACGTAAAAAAGCCCAAGGCTCCTACAATTTGAGGGCGGTTCAAATGACACTTAGCATGCTTGTTCTTTGGACAATTGTAGGCGTTTGAGGTGCACTGTCACTCTTGCGCTCCATTGCTCACCTAAATCCTAATCTAGTTGCTTATTTTATTGCTCTCCGTAATGGCGTAATCGCTCTCCCCAACTGCATATTTTATTTCTATAGCGAAACATCAGAAATTGCCTAATGTAAATGTAATCGCTCATCCTCGGCAGGTGTTATTTATGTTTACGTCTTATTTAATTCCCATAGATTAGCTCTGTACTCCTGTCAATTGCGATCACACAATATTTTAATCTGTAATCATTTTTCTTCACTCATTTCATTGCATTTCATTGGCTATTAATGATTGTTGAATTGATTATATGTTGTGTATATTTATAATGTGTTTATTTGTAGGTGATCATTGGTATAAACGTAATACAGATTTACCAGCAGAAGAACAGATGATATCAGCATCACCAGATATACAATCTGTATTGTTAGGAGATGATGATGATTTTATTGTTATAGCTTGTGATGGCATATGGTAAGCTCATTTATATTCTATCATTTTATCAACCATTACCAATCTTTATAGCAAGGAAAAGTGTCTAGTTGTTCGGATGGGATGAAAAACCCAATGCATTGCTGTGAACACTGCTGCATGCATGTAAAAGAATCCTTGACAGTTGGAATTTAATGCTGTCCAGGAATATTTTTCCTCATAGCACACTGTATAACATATGTCCGTCTCTATTAGCCAAGTCTATGCAGTAGAGTAGGACAACATTCAGCATCCATTGCAGACAATATATAGTCAATACATGCCTGTGTCAAGGGTTAGAGGCATGTCATTGAGTACATATACACATAACCCCGATAGTACACTCCATCTGAATCACACTTTAATTTACGAGGCTCTGCATATTGCACCACTAAGGAACTCTCTTGACCAACACAGAGCCTGAACAGCAGTGACCACTCGGTTGGCGTGTCACAGGGTAATTCAGAATAGCCACCATACAGTCAGTGTTTGATGTAGTTGATCGATCAGAGGCCTGTTTCACAAAATTTTAACTAAGATACAATCCAAATTTTAGTAATTTGATTGGATAATATTAGATTGATTTTAGGTTTTAGCCAATCAAAATTGAAGTATCTACTAAAATTTGGATTTTATCTTTAGTTAAGATTTCGAGAAACAAGGGCCCTGTTGTTGAAGTTAAAAATTGGCTTAATTTCAGTTGTATTTATTATTTTTCTAGGAATTATTTGTCTAGTCAGGAGGTCGTTGAATTTGTTCACGAGAGAATCCAATCAGAAGAGAAGAGAAAGAAACCCTCAATTATATGTGAAGAGGTAAAAATAGTTTTATTAATTCTCGCAGATATATCAAATTCTATACATTGTGTTACTAATTCTCACAGCTGTATCAAATTCTAAAGTTAGAGGGAAAAAAAAGTAGAAAACATTTGTGATGTAATAGTTACTGGCCCTGATGGATGTTTAAACATTCCGCCCATACGTTGTCGATACCCTACTAGGGGCTTAAGTTATCATTTAATAGACTTGAAATTTATATACATGTTTATGAGACATTATAAGGTCTAATTTTTTTTTTCTAGATTTTTGGTTAATGCTGTTAGTGTCATTAACCTTAATCAATTTGAAAAATCTTATGGGAGCTTGAAAGACTTAAAAGTTATTGACCGAGTGATTTTAAATTTTTACATATTGTTTAATCTTTTTGATTTTCAACTTTTTTCTGATCATAGGTTAAATTACCAAATTTTAAATGCCGATAATTATGGAATGTTCCTCTTGATCAGTTCTTAGTGTCTTGTAAATACTCCGTACCCCTGTCTGCCCAAGCACCTTTCCCCTCTTGTGGAAACCAGACTAAAGAGCTTTGGGGTTTTAACATCCACTTGACACAAATACAGTCATATGTGGGATTCGGGAAAAACCCACAAGGTTGGACAGGTGACCTTACTCCTTGTCACGACACTTGACTAAATGACAGACCATATGATCTAAAGGGTAGGCCAGTCGGCCACCCAAATCCCAGGTTACTTTATTAGTATTTTATCATTATTATATTTCAGATGTTTGATTATTGTTTGGCGCCGAATACATTTGGTGATGGAACCGGTTGTGATAATATGACTTGCATTATAATTATTTTAAACCCGGATAAAGAACCGACTGTATACAATACAAAACGTTCCGCTGAAGATTTGGACACATCGAAAACGGACGAACTCCAAGCAAATAAAAAGCTTAAGATTGAAGAAGTTCCCAACAGCTCTAATAACGCAGAAACTGTAATGGACATTAAAAATGAAATATCGTCCGAAGCTAATATAACAAGTGATAGTATGTAGAAAAATGCCACAGCAGTAAAACTAATGACATTATTGGAAAGTATAAACTTCAAATGACATTATTGGAATGTAAATGGTTCTGAATTATATCAGGACTAGAATTAAATCCATTTTATCAGAAATAACATGTATTGTGTGTAATTGTGTTGTATGCGTTTTGGATAAAGAAAAGGGTGAAAATACCTGCTTTGATGCTAAATTTCAATAATCCCTGTGTTGATCAGTTTTTAGTACCCCCAAAATTTTAAAAAGTCTGAAGGAGTTTTTGTTTTAAAAAAAAAAAAGAAAAGGGTAAGTCCAAGCCAAATTGATTAATGTTTTTTCAAGAAATTAATAACTATCCTTGTGATGGGCTGTTAGTGACATTTGTTTTTTTATGCACCCACATGGAAATGTGTTTGAATATTGTCGTCGCCCCTGTTTGTTTGATGTCCACATTTCAACAGTTTCCGTTAATTACTTTTAAAGTTATGGCCCTTGTTTCATTTTGTAGAACCTTGTGAACACTCTGTGACAAAAGATATCATCTGATCTGTATTAAATTGATAAGCATGTCTTGTAAATGGTCCCATTACGTTCAAAAGAATAAATATATGACAACCCTTGTCGACTGCTCAGACGATTTAGCTGCTGTGTGTGTATGTTTCATTGAGCGTGTTGGTGTCTTAAGCAGTGGGAGGAAACCGGGGGACCCAGAGAAAACCATTAAGGTTGAACAGGTGACACTAGTCCTTTTCACGTGCAAGCTAGGAATCAAAACTACGAAAATTGACTCAATGGTAGACCTTATGATCTAAAGCATACGTTAGACCATTCGGCCACCCAATAAATAGGAAATAAAACTTATATACAGTAGAATCTGTATTAAACAGCTACTCAAGGGATTTTCCTGACTGACAGCTTACAGGGGGTGACTTTATTAAAATCACATACCCTGCAATGTGTACATGCGACCTCGGTTTTTGTCCCATCCGAATGACTAGACAGCTGTCTTTGTCATAATAAATACGAAGTAAAACTTTGATAATTGATCCTGGAGAACTATAGTTTATAAATTGATGTGGCCTGATCAGGAGTTATTTGATTTAAAAAAATAATGTACAAAAACAAATAGAAATGGCAGCCATTTCCTCTATGCTAAGTGATAAACTTGTTTAGAAAAAGGGGGAGTTGTGTGGCCGAATGGTTACCGCGTGCGTGTTGCAATGTTAGGCCTGTCATTGAGTCAGCTCGCGTGGTTTAGATTCACTGGTTGTGCATGACAAGGAGTAGGGTCGCCTGTCCAACCTCATGGGTTTTCTCCGGGTCCTCCAACTGCTAAAGACCCCTACGAGCAAGTGAATTATTGAAATAAAATTGAACCATGTGTTTATCCCGAAATGACCTAGTTTGTCTGGAGTGGACCTTAAACCCCATGTCTCTCTCTCTCTCCTTCCCTCTTCCAGCCTGGCATGTGTTTCTTCACCTAGAAATGGCTGGCTATTCCACTCAGCTGAGGATAACTTTGCACCTGCATAAGTGAACAGCCATGTGATGGTGACATCAAATATCGACCTGGGCTTTGGTGAGGATAATTCATCGATGGTTTTGGGGACGATGTCGCCTACTATTTTGAGCCCAAAGATCCATGTTAATAAAACTGATTAATTTGCTGACGAGATAATTTGTGAATGGCATCCCTGTTTCAATACAAAGGGGTGCTTATATAAAACATTTTATCATTTATATTTTACTAGAAGAATGCCTGGCTTCGCTCGGGGGTCATAACCCCGAAACCGGAAGTGGTAGACTAACGCCACCTGGCCTATGTTACTCCCTGGTGCGAGCTACCCCTATACCCCAAATTTCAGACTCGGGGCAGACCTAGTGTAGCCGCCAACCCCAAACAGACAGACAAACGACAGTCACAAATATTAGTATAGATTTGGACTGACCCACGGAACACATTTCAATTCCACAAGTAAACACTGTTAAAAACATTTTTAATACTTTTATTCTGCCAATGTGTTAACTGGGTGCTATGTTATTTTCTGAAAAAAAAATCAAAACAAAACAATGACAAAATGTTGGTTAATTCTAAAATTTAAGGCCCTCTGCAGATTTGGTAAACAGGACTAGCGCTAACCCTAACACTAACCCCTAATCTTGTCAACAATTGCGTGGCCTAACCCTATTTACATCTCACGACCATGACGAATCTGCAGTTGGCTTTAACTTTTAGACTTTGCCCAAAATGTTGTGAATAGAAAGTGTCAAACTAATCAGCAGTAAATATTTGCTTGGCACTACAATCACTGAGAGGGATGACATCAGTTAACTAGCTCTCGATAGTTACTTTTTTCTTTTACTTTTGCAAATTAAATTCCAGGACATTTTCTGAAGTGAAGAAAAAATAAAGGTATTGGATAAAAAAATATTTCCCATTTAGTGTAAATGGGAACATCAAATTGTACACTTAGGCACCAATTCTTCACGGACCAGTTTGTGTTACTAGTCCCATGTAAACAATGCATGTGTTATCGACTCGTATGGTGTGACATCACACGTAGACGCATCTTCAATAGAAGGCTTAATCTCGCTTTAACTACGTACATCTTATCAAGGCCTTCACGTAATACCCTGCATATTGCGGCACTAATTTCGAATGGGTACAAGCCCAACTTGTGAGCCTATCAGATTCCTCGATCGTCGCAAATACCAAGTCTGGCGCTTTCAAGCTAAATTTTACCTGTGATAATCGAGTTGCAAAGTTCAAGGTTCATTCAATGTCAAGGTTTCCGTGGAGGTCGCGATGTCACAAACTCTGATTGGATGCTACTGCCCACGTGTCTGTAGATAACATAGCTATAAGTTCGGGAATTGTGAAATAAACAAGCAACGGTGAAACTCGCAGTCTTGCTTCAGGAACATGACGTAGACCTATACTGCACGTGAACTTATAAGTTTATAAGTTCAGTCATCGTGCACAGAGTTAAAAGAAGTCTGTCGTATTACAACTGTAAACAGGATTGTCTGGTTACAGTTGTTGACAGGGCCCATTTTAAGGTTATTTTCTCGGAGTACGCCCCTCTGGCAACGCGAATTCTAGGGGGGGGGGGGGGGGTGCCGGCCTTTGAAATTATTGAACAATACATGGTCCCTAGAGTCAAGTTGGCATACATGTATATCTGTGGAAGCTCGATAATGAAACATAAACTAACAAACTAGCCTATGCGGGAACCTATGGTCCATACCTATATATTAATTCATATCAACGACTGATGCAAATCTGAAGAATAATAAGCTCGAAGTGTAGGCCTAAGTATGATCCGGCAGAAATTAGAATTTTTTTGAAATCTAATACCCCCTCAAGAGTAGAATCTCTAGCGTATATCCAGAAACAATAAAATCCGTTGAATCAAGAAGAATTAGAAATAAACGTGATTCTGATTCGATCTCCTTGATGATCTTGATTACGCGACACAGAAAAGGCAACTTCTAGCAAGTTCGACTTTTATGGAATACTTGGGGAGATTGGTCACACGCTCGACGCGACGTAACGAATTTTGTACAATGATGGGCCTCTCTTCAGTGATACCTGGCGCGCAGTTTCGCTCATCAAATGCACGTTAAAATAGTCTCTGGTCGTTGGTGTGTAAAATTCGCTAAATTCGTTTTTTAGAAGACGTACATGGGCAGTACGTACATGTAAAATATCCTTTCGCATTTCATAAAGCACACGAAATGTTAAAAACAAGCAGAAGAAAGTGCGGAGAGCGAGTCACCTTAAATACTTAAAAAGTCTAACAAGCATCCCGAACAATGACTTGTATCCGGAATACGTTATATCATAAATTAAATGAAAAGCTGTGTGGGTACTGGGTTAACTGAAATACATATATTTAAAGTAGCTAAGTCTCTAACTCAATATCATCAAAAATCTTCGACATTGAAAACACGAATTATTTGTCAATTCAAATCAACATTGGTCTTGTAATCTTACAGGGAAAAGATGGGCTTCTGATATCCAATATTCAAGACCAAATAAACATTTTACCATTGGTACACGATTCGTGTACCATAATGCGTTTCAGTGCAATTTGGAACAAGGGACTCAAAGAACGCGGCTAGATATATTCCACAAGTCATGTCAAATCGTGACGTCATATTCTTATCTGGAGATAGAGCATGCGTAATAAATACTATCATTGTAGACTGGAATAACCAGGCGCTAGAGATTGCCTTTCGTTTGAGACTTCTGGTGTATTTCGCCGTACATAACTGATTAGAAATTACAGTAAAAACAGAAACGGTTGATTGTAAATCAGTATATATACATTCACATTACATTATTATATGCGTTGCGACCCATTTGTGTCAATTTCTAGGTCCCAAATATAATCGATTTAGCTCCTTTAAGTCTAAAATAACATGGATAAAATTTATGATAGTCACGATAAAACAACAAAATCAAAGAAACATTATGTAAAAGGTAGCTTCAGCTCTATTTCCTGGTTTCAAATTTTAAATAAATTATTATTTAGTCTCGGTTGTCAAGGACAGTTGCTACGATAATTAACAATCTCCGCCACATCTTGAAACAGATATATTCATTTTTCATTATCTATTTTAACAACTACCGAGAACTGCCGGCGCTTTATCTAAATCTTACACGATACATTTTAAGCAGTTAAACCTATGATATATTTTACGATAAAACAACATAACTAAGCAAAACCAAACCTACCATCAACATTTCCTATGACATTCAGGGATGGTCAGAAAGTTATTCTCGTTTCCACCACAACCACTGTAGACAAATCTAGTACACAACTTAGTTACTTTGTTATAATAGTAGCGTTTCAATTTGGCTTCACACGTACCCTTTACTTTTGGCAACCGACACATAGCTGGAACTAAAAAAAAGAAGAAATATACAAATATAAAGCCAAAGAAATGGATTATCTAGAGGTTCCAACTTAGAATATTCATGCGGCATTCGGAAATCACCTCAAGATTTTCTTAAAGGCTCAATACCACATATGTTGCAACTGAATAATATGTCCCAATCTTTATTCTGGTCAACAAATTGCACTATTTTACAATATTCCAATTAATTGATGATACAAATTTCATCTTAACACACCTAATTTAAAAAAATGGAAAAATTCAGCTAAATGATTTGAAAAGCTTTTCAAATGTGACTTGGATTTAAAAATATTTTTGAACCCTCTGGACAAGTAAAATAGGATTTAATGGATAAATTACACAACAGGTAGGACACCAACACATCTAGTACTTAGAATAAGGCTATTTTTTATTTTTTGGAGCTGTCAAGTCAGCAAGAGTGTTATTGTCCCTTTAACGGGTCTATGCTTTTCTCTAAAATTATGTGACTAAATATAGATTATCGGAAAGTTCCAACTCAGAATATTGAAGCGGCATTTATGATACCACCGCAAGATTTGCTTAACGGGGCTACGTTATTCTTTAAAATTATATGACTGACGTGATAATCGTGACGATCACGTACCCTGCAGTTACTCAATCTGTTTCACAGTGGTATTACAGAGATATTGCGAAGACTAATAACTCTGTAAAAGATGACTGCTTTACCTCGTGTACACATTGGCGTGCACGTAAAAGATCCCTTGACATTTGTAATTCGATATAAGAGTAGGCCACTGACCTGGCAAAATTTCCCTCATAGCACAATGTAGGCCTATGGCGTATTCTCGTCTCCATTAGCCCAATTGGAGCAGAACAGTATTTACATATGATTTGGAAAGTATTTAGATATATATATATATATATATATATATATATATATATATATATATATATATATATATATATATATCCAGACACACGGGAACAGTGTGGAATTGTGGCACTTGTCGCAAACCACATAAATGAAAAGAAATTGGGTTTAACGGCGTAGTTTTCTACAATCCTATGAATTGTTCAAAAGTTTGTATCATACGCCATCACTGGCGAGGAAAAATCGCAGCATCACAAACTTGCAACAGATTGCCATCCTCTTAGTAGATCATCACGAAAGAAGGAATTAGGCAAAACAATTCAATGAAAAAAAAATATATCCTAGGCTTTACCGTAATATGAACTATAATCTGATTAAATATTATTTGGAAAAAAGATAAAAAAAAAAAAAAAAGATAGGCGGCGCAGCGTTTCCGGCTTGAAAATGAAACTATAAAGACGCTACAAATCATATTTTCTACTATAACAAACTCAACAGTTATTTTTACACTGGTGTTAGTAAGCAGAAAATATGAACTAATTATGGTCGCCATTTTCAAATCGTAAACTCGCGTTCGCTGTAAATACCGTAACGGTTGCGTCTTCTAAATATTGATCTTCTTCTAGCAAGTGTTCGTCTTCTAGCTACTCTGCCAGCTTCACATGTTGTCAACAAGATGGTTGCTGCAATGAGCAAAACGACCAGGACGACGGCAAACCGCATGGCTGTGTTGTGTTATTCCGTCCGTCTAATATGCATAAGGCACTTGTCGTTTGTATTTATACCACCTAACCGAAAATTAAAAATAATTATTTCTTAATGTCAGAAATGTTAAAATTGGTTTATTTCCGAAAGATAAATTTGTAGCGACAAATAATCACAGACGCTGTTATAAAGTTATATAAATGTCAGTTTTATTCCTGCAGTAAATTACCGGTTGTATTTTAATCACCAGTTCCAAATTTATTTAAACAAATGATAAATTTAATTGTGAAGTTTATTCGTGTAGTAATTATATAGGGGTGGGATGGGGGCAGAACAGGAAATGCCCGAAAAAATTCGGGTTACAGGCGGCGGTGCCGCTCTTCTGTGAGAGCGGAGCTTACCGTGTAGAGATCCCCCCCCCCTCCTCCACAAAGAAATTTTAGAAAATTTGACGACCGCAAGCGCATTTCCTGTTATCCTAGCCCGTAAATACAGCAACTTCAAAGTAGTCTAATATAGCCTAATTAAGATGGCGGATTTGAATTCCAATCAACCTATCATTCGTTTACAGTCCACGGAGAGAAAATTTTGAAAATTTAGCTGCCGCAAACGTATTTTTCTGCTATTCCAGCAATTTCAGTGTTGTCCAATATACCTACCTTATCAGTGGCTAACCTGAATCCCAAACAACCAATCAATCGTCGTGGGGTATGGGGGCCTCGTCCTCCCGGAGTAAATTTGTGAAAGTCTAACCGCAGCAAATGCATTTTTCTGCTATACTAGCTCGTGAGTTAAGCAACTAGAAAGTTGTCCGATGATTTTGTAACCGAAATCCCACTCTATGCTGTCTTGAATTCCAACCATCCAACCAGACTGTTGGAGCTGCATTCATAATTAATTGATCCCCGAAAAATGTCGCCCAAAGTAGAGTGGCCTCAAACAAAATGTTTCTATCAATAGTCAATTCAGTACAAATTCGTGGTATTCAATTAAAAGTAAAGTAAAATTAGTATGTTATTAGATTTTGGCACATTAATTTGCCAACTAGATTAAATAATAAATTTTGTTTTAACTTTACCCGTCTTCCCGAAAAGTCAGATTGCCCGAAAGCTAGGGGGAGGGGGGGGGCGCTGCCGCCTGCCCCCGCCCCGTGGCTTGTTCGCCTATGGATACTAAATGTCATAATGCTCATATTACGAGAGGCGAGGACAGGATGTAACCGCACCGGAAGACTGCAGGTGTGTGCAGCTCGTGGAATACCCATCAGCGTAACAATATTGATAACCATGCTATTAGGTTGTTATCATCAATTTATTTGTCAATTAAAAATCAAATCTTTTAAATCTATACGACAGCTTGACATATTTATTTAAAATTCTGTATTAACTCGAATTTAAACATACGCACTACATGTATTTAATATTAGCTATATAATATATATCAGATTAGCTGGTATACGCTAAGGCCTAAGCTTAAATGCTCAATACCACTCTTGTTGTAACCGAATAATATGTCCCAATCTTTATTCTGGTCAACAAATTGTACTATTGTAGAATATTTCAATTAATTGTTGATACAAATTTCAACTTAACACACCTTATTTAAAAAATTTGAAAAATTCAACATAATGGTTTGAAACGTCTAACGTAAACCTTTTCAAATGAAACTTCGATTTAAAAATATTTTCGAACCCTCTGGACAAGTAACTGGGGCTAATGCGCCTTATGGTACACGATTCGTGTACCAATGGTAAAATGTTTATTTTGTCTTAAATATTGGATATCAAAAGCCCATCTTTTACCGGTATGATCACAACATGAATGTTGATTTAATTTGACAAATAATTTGTGTTTTCAATGTTGAAGATTTTGGATGATATTGAGTTAGAGACTTAGCTACTTTAAACATCTAGTACTTAGATAGAGATATTATTTATTTTCTGGAGCTTTCAAGCCAGCAAGAGTGTTATTGTCCCTTTTAAGAAATAAAATGAATTAATGAAGTTTAACTTCCTATATACTGTTCTGGTAATGAGGGAAATTTTGTCCGGACGGCGGCGCTAAGGCCTACTCTTCTATCGTATTCCAACTGCCAATGTGTATATGGGACGTTGGTTTTTCTTCCTATCTGAACGACTATACCTTGTCCCTTGCCAGGCCCTCTGTTCTGTATCACTAGTATCACTTACACGCGAGAACCTCGTCGGAAAATATCGATGAACATTCTCGCCCAACACAGGGATCGAAAACTGGACCTCCAAATTAGCGAACCAACGCCTTCCACGCTGCGCCACCCGCTAGGTTTAAAGATGTTGGAATACGTCTTGACACAGAGATTGACAACCGCGTTCAGAAGAAACATAAAATTTATTCAAATGAGAATTAGCAAACGACACAAAATGGAATGGGGTTTAACGTTCCAGTTGTTTTGATGATGAGAATTTTGTGTTAAAATCAAGTTGATTATGTCGAGACTTTTGAACCCAATAATTCTTATTCTATACTTAAAGATACATTATGGGAGATTAGATAAAGAGGTAGCAATTCTCACTATAATAACGGATTTCTTTAAAATTTGGTGGTAAGCTAATATATATATTAGAAATAAAGTTGTTTTAGGAAAGAAAACTAAGTTTTTGCTAGTACTTTCCGCTTTATTAAGCTTCTTCAGGCACACTTTCCGTTCTGGAGTCATCAAATTTGCTCAACATCCAGGGGCGGATCCAGCCCCCCCCCTCCCCCTGCTCAGCTACATAAAATAAATTCGTAAATCAACACTTTTGATGAGAAATGTTTCTCGGTCGTATGCTTTATCCTTTATCGTCAGATGTGGGACAGGATGGGCACTCAAAGCACGATATAATGATATAATGATATAGACATTATGTGATATCACAATTAATGCTTTGCATCCATCAAATTGAATCACAATGTCATTGTATTAATTCATAATAAAAATTGACGTCAAACGAGGTGTTGAATGTCTCTGTTTAAAAAGCTCAATGTGTATGTAGATACGCCAAAATGACGATAGAGACCATGTGGGAGGGGGGGGGGAGATACATTGTCTCAGGAACCCCCTCCTGCAAAAATTCCTGGATCCGCCCCCGACATCCAAGATTTCCTCACTGATATATGCCGTGTGAGCCCTTTAAAAGCATGTTTTCAACTTAATGTGTAGTACATGAACTGTGAAACGTCAATCTGTCGTAATTTGTTGTTGGACGTGTGAAGGAATCGAGCTAGAGATGCCGAGACTTACTGAAAATCAACGGAATGAAGCCATGGGAATGTCCAGGGCTGGCATGTCTACGCGCGTTATTGCCAGACACTTCAATTGTCATCAGTCCACTATTGTAAGGTTGGTGGAACGTGTTCGAGTTACTGGATCAACACGTGACCGTCAACGTCCTGGTCCACAACGCGTTACAACCCAGGCTCAAGACCGCTACACCCGGGTCACTCATCTGTGTGACAGATTCCGCCCAGCGACTCGAACAGGTGCAGCAGTCGTCGGAAGACAAGGACCAGTAAGTGCCAACACTGTAAGACGTCGTCTAAGAGAAGTAGGACTCCGTGCACGACGACCTTATGTTGGAGCTATCCTCAGGGATCATCACCGTCAGCGGCGTTTGATATGGGCTCATGGACACCAGACATGGAGAAGAGTAGACTGGCAAAGTGTGCTCTTCAGTGATGAGAGTCGCTTTCATCTTTATCACGCTGATGGCCGTCAACGTGTGTGGAGACGTCTTGGGGAACGTCTTGCAGACTGCTGCGTCTTCGAAATGAATCGATGGGGTTGGGGAAGTGTAATGATGTGGGGAGGCTTCACATTTCATCACCGGACCGCCCTACACATTTGCAGGGGTCGCGTTAATGCTGTAGCCTACCGTGATGATGTCTTGCAACCAATTGTTGTTCCGATGTTTCGAGCGCACCCACAACTTCAGCACTTCCAACAGGATAATGCACGTCCGCATACCGCCCGTTTTAGTATGGGCTACCTGGCTGCTAACAACATCAATGTCTTGGACTGGCCAGCCATATCTCTGGACATGGCACCGATAAAAGATGTCTGGGATGAGATTGGACGCCGTCTGTATCGGAGACCACAGATGCACACCATTGCTGCTTTAGAAGCTGCTCTTGTCCAAGAATGGAACAATTTGCCCCAGGCCTTCTTTCAAACATTGGTAAATTCCATGCGACGTCGCTGCACAGCGTGCGTAAGAGCCCGTGGAGGACACACGCGCTACTGACATCTGTGTCGTACTTTGGTTTTGACCCCTCTGACTTTGTACCGTTGATTACAGATTAAACACCCATAAGTGTACAAATGTGTTGTTATTGATGTGTTCCCATTTGAATATTGTTCACAATAAGAAGCAAAATAAATAAGATATGTTTACAGGATCATTTTGTTATACGAAAAACTAAGTGATGCGTTTTCCATGGCGCTCAGTATATATATATAAGAAAACGATCTAACTCTCAGTTAAACATATAAGTAGAATTCAAATATTAGAGAAAAAACACTAAAAATTAAATCTTTGGCTAGTACTTTCATCGTTATCAAACGAATCGTCAGGCCATTTTAAGCATCAAATATATATATATATATATATATATAAAGTCTAATTTATATATATATATATAAAGTCTAATTTATATTTTCCGTTTATCTTTCAAGTAATGCGGAAATGTGTAACACGTATTAACATCATATCGCTTCTCGCTAACAATAATTTGTTTATTAGAATTTCGAGGTTGAATGAAAACATCTGCGGGTGAACTAACAATAAATCGTTTATTGGAATTTTCGAAAAAAAAGGAAACTTTTTGTTCTGTAACTGTAAACAAGTTTTCTCCCAGCCTATTATGGTGGCTGTTTGGTATCATGTCGTCGTCTTCAATAGAAGGCTTAATCTCGCTTTAACTACGTACATCTTATCAAGGCCTTCACGTAATACCCTGCATATTTCGGCATTAATTTCGATTGGGTACAAGCCCAACTTGTGAGCCTATTAGATTCCCCGATCGTCGCGAATACCAAGTCTCGCGC